CAAAACGGACCATGGGATTTATTTTCAATTAGTAAATTTGGAAAACATGTTTGAGCTCTTAAAGGGCTATCAGAAACCAATCTAATCTGCTTGTATTACACTTATCACTTTTAATAATTGGAATTTAAAAGCTCGGTTTCTTTGTTTGTGAGGTGTTACTATGCTAGTGGCTAATTGTATTGTAGTAACATGGTCACGGTAATGAAAAACCGTGCTATTTTCAAGAATAACAAGTATTTTGTATTATGATTATAACAATCAATACGATAGGTATCATGTTTCATTTCATGACGATTGCAGATCTACAGTTAATGATAAAAAGAGATTATGGAAAACACTTGTAAAGAACTTGTGGCATTAGCAAATTGGCTTTCATTATCCGAGCAGGATAATATCAATGGCACGTGATTGGATTTAGGCCAGAAATAAGTAACAGCTAAAGAATGCAGGTGTCAGTTCATTTTTAAGGATGAACGTGAAAATCAAATACTAATATTTTGATATAGCCTAAAAGTTCCCATGTTAAATAGAATGGATACGTATAAAGTCATACCTTGAAGCCATTGTCTTGGGAGAGGAGGTTATATCCATGGAGACAACAGGGAAAGACGGAAATCTGATTGAGAATAAAACGAATATGTCGGTGGGCGTTCTTAATGCCCAGCTAAAGTGAGTGCATGAAAATATGTTTTTTTCAATTCTTCATTTACTTAGTTATTCAACTGTGAAAGAACCATGTGCTTGTTGATAACTTAAAAATACATAGTATCAACTTTTTAAGGTTATAGCTCAATTGGCAATGTTAAAACATGTCCAAATGAGTTTTAAAAAAAGTCTGCAAAGATACATGGCAAATGCGACATTTAAGTAAAACCCCAAAATCACCAAACGGTGAAAAGGGAGGAATTTGACTTTTTTTACAATTTTGGAATAACAAGTATTTTGTATTATGATTATAACAATCAATGCGATTATCATGTTTCATTTCATGATGATTTTTAAGTCGATGTAAACATTCCACTCTTAATTCGATCAAAATTCGTTACCGACTACTGTGCCTGGTCCTTGCAGCGTGAATACAAAAACATGCTACGTATGTGCGCAGATACTTCAAATCAGCAGTCTTGATATACATGAAACGGATGCAATTCCTGATTATTAAAATAATTAATTCTCCGTGATGGATTACACATTCTGTCTTTGAAGGGCTAAACTTTTGATTAGTTGGTTCATTATAACAATCCGATACCGGATTATTTTTCTTCCTCAAGTATGATTGATTAAGCCTGAGATTAATCAATCCTTTTGTGAAATAAAGATGTTTGTATAATGTCACGAAACAAAGGATTACTAATAGAGCAATTTGCATTTAAAGCCACCGAACGTTCAATACAGTTTGGAATGTTGTATGTTTATGAACGAGTGGAGCAGCGTTAATTTCGTTCATTGTCTAATTTGACCCGGGAATTTGACTTTCTGTAAAAACTGAGCCGATGGCTTGGTTGGCTTATTATACACCGTCATTCATAGACTTGAAGCTCCGAGGAGCATCAGTCTCAATGCCCCTTGTGTCAGACCCCAGTTCACTATGTAGGGTAGATGAAGTTCTTAAAAATTTAAGAAGTGGTGAGGCTGCGGATCCAATGATTTAAACGTACATCCAGTGGGTTCTAATCACAGTGCATTGTCTGAAGAAGGTACCCAAAACAAGTCCCTTTAATAATAATGACTAAAGCTATACTTTACATCCTTTAAAAAGTGGAAGCCTTGTCATTCTTTATATTCAAATGGCTAATGCTCTACGAAGTGATTAGAGCTCAAGAGACGCGAGTGGACTTAACACACACACACGCAAGCTGCAAGCGTGGGTTTAGAAAAACACAAATTCATTTTTAAGAGCCAAATACTTAGTACATGAAGTAATGAAATTAATATAGAATTGTGCATCAGGATATGATATAAGTAAATGCAATACTCAAATGTACTTTGGATTTATCCCAGGGAAAAATCACGTGGAGCCAGGAGTCATGTAATGTCGATAGAGCGATTTTAATGGCTGAATAGCGCCTATGAATAGTCCAAGGTTAACTTTGTTTCGCTGCAACGATTAACTCCATGTATATTTGGTGTCTTTACCATAAGAATGGGTTCTATGCTCGAAAACTTATTAAAAGATTATCCAAAATATCAACAAAGGTGCTTGCTCTATATTTTACATATTTGACTAAGCGTGTGTTATGCAAGCTTTGGCCACTTCTCTTTTGAGTGCACCACAATAATAAATAAAATATTTTCTTATCAAAATTTAATATAGAGATCGGACACTTATAACCAATTCCTAGGTTTGGGAGGTGGTTTAGAAATCGAACAGTAAGAGACTGCACCACGGTGTTGCCATGTTTAAACTGAAAGGGAATCAGTAGGGTATCTACAGTGAAAAAATTCAATCCCAAGCTTGAAAAAAAACAAAGCAAATTGATTGATTTCCTTATACTTCACATTAAAACAGTGATTCAATGGATTACACAAATTATCGAAATACGTTTCCCCTATGAAAATTAACGAAATTAAGGACTAAGTTGCATTCAACCTGCATTAAAATTCGAAGCCATGGATAAGAATCATCATTCAACAAAACAGGACCATAATGCACAGGGGGACGCTGAATCTTTGTCTTCAAGCAAAGGCGCCGAGCGTTGGCAAGGGTATGTTTATTCCGATCATCATCTTTGACTTGAGCCACTAGAACCGAAAAGCTTGAATATGTAACCAGGAAAAATTTCAATTGTAAAAGTAAAAAGAAAGGTAAAAATATAAGAACGTTATTTTTACAACAAGAACAATTTTCTTCGATTCTTGATGTTATGGACTGATCTTACATTCTTTATGTCTATGAAAATGTCGCCGAATTTAATTTGATTTTGCTACAAGATAGAAAAAATTGATCACGAGCAATTCAATTAAAAACCCAATCTTTGAATTACTAAGGCTTATCAGCAAAATGACAGCTCTAAATTCTATGTGGAGTGTAGTTGTTATTTACAAGTACCACTTTCATAATGTTTGACTTTTCGGATTTTGGATTAATAAAAGATGTCTACAAATAGAGCGACTAATGGCATAAGATATTAAACAACCTGTTTCGAAAATTCCATTTCTTGTTGCTGTTCCCGATCCCTATCATTTCGTATGATGCAACCCCGGGGATTTCAACTTTCTACAATTCCAAAAATCTATCTTCTGAGAATACTCTTATCTTAGACTAACCCTTTTGTCTCATATCATTCCTTGTCATGCTCATATATATTTTCCAAATATCATAGCTTCATAACTCATAAAATGCAGAATGGGTGGGCCCAGAAAAAAAAAATTGGGCCCAAAAAAAAATTTTTGAGCTAAAAAGTGGGCCTTTTTGGTCATTACTGGGCCTTTTAAGGCCTTATTTTTTAATTTCAGGCCAAATTTTGAAGAAAATGGGCCTCAAAATTTCAAAATTTGGGCTTTAGGGGCCCAACATTTTTTTACGCGCAAGCGCAGAAGTTTTTTCCTCTGACCTGAAATTTGCCCCCCCACCTTGTTGGTTTCCAGATCCGCCCCTGCAAAATGAAAACGATGATATAAAAATGATCGCACCATTCGACGATGGGTCTACTCCATAAATGTACTAGTCATAAAACAATGACAGTTATAACTTGTAAAAATGCATCCAATCGTATTCTTAGCTAATTCTTCAATACAGTCATTATTCATTTTTCGTTTTTAATAGCTCATATAATAATGGTCCGGAAAATATTTGAAACCCGTAACAAAAGGTAAAAAGGTATCAATGGTAATACGTTATGTATAAAAAGTGCATTAACATTTTCTCAAAAGTAAGTATGCTATAGTTAGAACCGTATTGTATTGATGGAGCGATACCCCAAATAACATGTTTGAAAAGTGTGATGTGTAAATATTGGTACTTTATAGAATGTTTCAAAAATGAATAGGCTTTGTCTATGTCTTGCATTTACTGGGTGACTCAGGATTGCTGTTAAAGAGATTACTATTTGGTGCGATTTCTATTTCAGTCATATTTTTGAATTATCGGATGCATCTGAAATCTGTAATTATCGACAACTCCAGATCTCATCATACTTTAAAATCAATGTAATACAGTAACACAAAACAAAGATAGGAAATGACTAACCTACAAGTCTTATATATGACGAGATGAAAAAACGTTTATACACCCTGTATTAGGGCAATGTTTTCAATGTAAAGAGAATTTACAATTGTTGTTAGCTTTCTGAGTTTGTGAGTTTTGAAACTGTGTTCATTTAGAAAGCAAGAGAGCTATTATAACGTCTACGTTGTGCAATTATGGAACGGAGTGAGACAAAAACAAGGTAAAATTATGATACTGTATTATCTTGGGGTCTGGTTTTACTACTGAGAAGGGAAGAAGTGGGAAACGGTGACAAAATACCATATGTATTTGCAGTGATTACATTTTTCTATGGACAACGAATGTCAATAAGATGATTGATCTTGGCACGGACTGTCGAGTGTCGATTAGGCCAAATCAGTCATAAACAATGAGAGTTGACTTCTAAACTTAAAAAACTCTCTGATACCATGTGAGATAGAATGGGTTACTTTTAAACTATTGTGGCTTATTTGATCTACGCGTGGCCTCTAATTTCGTCTTGTCTACTAATGAAAGCCATTTCATGCTTCGCGTGTTTCAACATTTCAAAATGTACCCCAATAACTAAGCCTTGTCCGAAAAGAAGACAGTAGAATATATTGACAGGTCCCCAAGCACCTGTTGAAAATCCAATACTACTTGCTCCCTGTTGCTAGTTAAATTCCGCGTATTAATATAAAATAGTCCTCTACCAGATTTACCAATAATTTGATAAGTTTTAATAAGGCATAGTAATTATTTTGCATATAAAGTATGTAAATTTGATTTTTTCACTTTATTGGGAACTTTTTGTGTTTTTTACAAAATAATGCAAAATTAGAAATATTACAATTTTATCGCGGATTGGTAATTTTTAGTACGTGAAAGTCCAAATGTAAACTAAAAAGTAAGGTGAGATAATTTTCCATAAAAGTGTACCAAATGTTCACATTTATACTCCAAGGAAATGGCTAAAGATAGGAGAGCTTCGCCGTACACCTAGTAATCTGTGTGCTGTTTGAATTGCCTGTTTCAAGAGTGAAGGAATTTGATGTTTTTATTTGAAATTTTGAAACTTGATCTTGACCGAAATCCAACATGGCGACTTGCAGCTAGGATACATAGACCTAATTCCCGGGGATTCATTATTGGCGATTTATTGATATCTATGTTACTGCCACCCAATACATGCTGCTGTTAATCATAAATATTCAAATAATATACCATAGATCCCGGCCAGATTATATTGTAGTAGAACAACATCTGTGTAATATACAATCGTGGCATTCCAAAATAATGTTTTTTTCCCTTCTCCAAGTCCAATGAAAGACTTTGAAGTTACAGTTTCACACTGTGATTGCATTGGTTAGGTCTTTCCTCGTTAATCATTCCATTACTGTATCTGTTTCATGTCACTTCTATTAATTCTTGACTGACTGTTGATAGATATACATGTACGAATACAATACAAATTGAATGTGTCTCAGCTCAGGGTCGCATACAGTACTAGTTCAACAACATTAGGCCCTTTCTGGGGCCTTGTTTCTTATCTGATATGTCTTATGGCCCCAACTAGCTGGGAAATTAAAAATCAGATCTAATGAATGGGCTAGCTTAAGTTTAAACTAGTTTAAGCCTTTGAAAGAGGTACATGTACGTTCGTTGTGAATAGTCTACATGTAAGATATTTAAAGGGAGGCCAATAATGTAATTCCTAGTATGTTATAAAGTGTTTGCAGATAAATAAAGCTTAACCTTAAAAAGAAGTAAACTGTCTCCAGATTCCTGATGTTCGTACATGTTATGATGTGTTCTCCCTGAGTGCTAAAAGTCACATGAATTAAGATCATTAATAGAGCTGTTTGTTCAACAATTTATAAGTATTGTTTTCACTGTTATCTCTTTTTGATTTCAGCTTCATCAAGAAGATCAAGATGGGCAAGAAGAATGAGAAGGGTGGAAAAGACAAGGGTCAAACATCCAGTGCTAGTCAGGATGGCCAAGATGATGATCCAAATAAAACACCAGGTAATTTCTAACATATGAATACTGCTTTAAGTAGCCTTTTCAAATAAAAGACACAGACTAGAACTACTTTTGAAGCTTAAGGTCATGCATCCCTGCCAGTGTAGGCCCTAGGGATCTGAAACCTGCTGGTCAAAATGGCTTTACGGACCAGTTGCAATGTTATTTTCCTATATCTTCCTTGTGAAAACCCTTAGGGCCTACACTGCATCCCTCTCAAATAATGTAGGAATCTATGTAAATGAAAATATTATTTAACACCTAGATTTATCCATTATTCATGTTGTTTCTACTTTCTAGATAGCCCATTTGCAGTACATGTACTCAATATATGCCACAAATTATCATGTATGTAAGGTTTTCCATGCTATCGTCTTTATTTTTCTCCTTGGAACAGAACCATACAACTGTACTGGGAAATTCTTTGATGACTTCACAGAGTTGTGCAGACGTAACCAAATGGTTGTGATTCCAACGATTGTTCCAAGACCAAAACGTCCCCCCTCCCCTAATTCCATGCCTGCTCCTGATGCTAAAGAATCAAAAGGAAAGGGAAAGGACAAAGAAAACAAGCAACCAGAGCCTGAACCAGAGCAAGAACTTGATGAGAATGGAGGTAAGTTGACTCAGTCTTATGCAGAGCCTCACTAAATCAAATGCAATTATATTTGCTAACTGAATGAGGGGAATATAAAATCACATAATAGAGCTTTTTCAAATCTGGAATTATTTCATTGTAATGTTTTTATGAATATTTACTTTTTAGGTAAAGTCTTATTTTAAAGGATTTTTCTCTTGCAGAGCCAATAGAACCCCTGCCAAAAACCTATACAACAAAAGAAAAGTTTGAATATTTCAAACCTTGTATTCAAGTAGAGATGGAACATCCTGATAAACAGGACACTGTAACCGAGTTATTTATAAGAGGTAAATATTTATCTTACAAATCATGGACATCATATAATATGGATGTATATTTTTCATTAACCTATCCAGCCACCTCTAAATCAGAAGGACACTTTTTGATGAGTGCTAACTGCACACTATTGGAAAAAATGATATCTGAAAAAAGCATATAGACACACAATTGCAATAACGTTTAACTTTGTTGATGTTAAATGATTAAAAGCTCTAAATTGATTTTATGTTAATAATAGTTTCAAATGCATTATCTATCATGTACTACACAGATTGTAGCATTTCAACCCTCTTTTGGTATACTAAATTGAAATGCAAATGCAAAATGGAATTGGATTTATGCGATGAACAGATGAAGGATATGTTGAACACTGTTTCTTTGTATCTTAGATCATTGTATGGAATGATGGTGATATGTATACTTTATGGCCTGTTGCTCTCTTAAATAATCCTTTTCCATCTGTGTTTGTATTATACTTTTTGGTCTGTATACCCTCATGGCACTAGTGCTTACATATTCATTTCATTCATAGGTTGGAAGATAGATGAACCAATGATGGGTGTGTTTCAACAGACTTGGCCCCTCATGGAAAAACTTCACACAATTACGTAAGTGAATAACATTATTTAAGTTGAAGAAGTTGCCTTCAAATAATGACCTGGAAAGCAATATTCTTGATGACATCCCTTATTAACTCATTGCTGACCAACCCTGAGATATTTCGTCTATGATGTCATAATCGTATGTGACCAACCCCAAGATGTCTCGGGTGCTGTCCAGTAATTGTCACATAATCTGTACCAGTTATCTTACCAAATATTCTAGTGGTCACTAGGGGAACCTGGTAGGGTGCAATTGAAATTTTTGTCATTGGCTTCACAAATAGCATATAACTTATTGCATAGGGTGTTGATATAGTCTATTTTATGCTAATGTGAAAACATGCAATTTTGCTTAATTATTCATCAAAATTGCCAGTCACCAGCAGAAAACCTCCAAAAATAGCTTTGGCCAGCAATGAGTAAAGTGGAGGATATATCAGTTTGTCTTCTATGGATATTATAATGTCCTCAGACCTTGTATTCGTACTACACCCCCAAAATGCAATCTGATTTTCGACCCAGTTTCGGTCCCAAATTTCGGTGCCGTTTCGGTACTAAATGGACTGACTAGCCCGGTAGCAAATTTTGGTGTCGAAAGGTTTCGGTGCCGGAACGGTGCCGAATTTTGTCAATGCCGAAACGGCGTCGAATTATATTGGCTGTGTAGACATTTTGATTTGAAAATGTACTGTAAAGCAAAATAATGGAAAAGTGGGTGATTGAAAGAAAACACTGAGATATATAAAACCTTACATTTCAGGCTTTGGCACACTGGTCTTACTGGAGATTCAATAAAACAATTAGCAGGTTTCCTTCCCCTGTGTCCTAACCTCCGCAACCTTATCCTAGATGGGAATCCCAATAAAACAGAAAACTGGCATGAACTTATAAAAGAGGAAAGTCTTGTAGTTAACCTGTCATTAAGGCATAATTGGATTACTGATAAAGGTGCTACATTGTTAGCTAAAGCATTGGGGTCGGCCACTGGGAGTAATACTAAACTGTTACAGTTGAATCTCACTGGAAATAGGATCACTGACGATGGGGCTATTGAGCTGGCAAATGTAAGTATAATGTTTACTTAAGGCACATCCACATGTTGAGAATTTTTATGTAATTTTTCTTCATGGTTGTAATTATTACTCTATAATAGTAAATGAAATTTTTATGCGGATATATTATATATACAAATTAATCATTATGGTAGAATATATAGTTCAAAATCAAAATATTTACATTGAATCTACATGTTATCATTTTTAAAGTTTTTTTGTGAGTTTTAAACAAAGAGATAAAAACAAGTGTTTAAAAAATTTTCGGGGATGTTTTACGAAGCTTACATTTTAAAAAACATCGAAATTGAATTGTCTGTTGAGTTTGCAGTTCTTTTTGCAAGCATTTAATGGTATAATTATAATTGTTTGCCTGATTGTAGGGTCTACGCATGAACAGAACATTGTTGACGTTAGGACTAGGAAACAATCTTATTGGAGATAGAGGTGTCAAGAAAATATCTGAGGTGAGTCTTAAATTTTTCCCACACATCCTAATTCTCTCGTTATTCCATGCTTGGAGGGATTGGTTTATCTATACCAAATTTGTAAATGCATGCTTGGTTTTTAGTTCCTTCACAGAGTGTCTTTGGGTGTACTGGATTAGTCTAGAAGAGTCATTTAATAATCATAAAAATTATAATGTTAAGTATAATATGAATATTTTTCTCTAAGTTGACTTGATAACTCATGCTTCCCTAAAAGTATTCAGTCTATAATTGATTTTGCTCTTTCTTTTTTGTTTTATAGGTGACCAATGCATTGTGGCAGGGTATACTGTGCATATTCTGTTCCACACTAGAATTATTGTATTTTAATTTGTACTTGATTTTCAGATGCTCTCGAGGTTTCCACTAACCCACACAGAAGTTGTAGAAAGACGTAAACTTTTGTCAGAGAAAGGGTCACCTGAAAGACAAAAATCAGTGAGTAAAATATCCATAGGTTTTCATTGGTTAAAATTACTGTATGTCCCTAAAGGGTTTCTGCTTGTTAAAAGTTTTTGTTTGTTTGTAAAGGGTTATTTTGAAATGTTTTTGTTTGTGTGTAGAGTTTTTGTTATCATGGAGTACTTGTGCCTACATATTTAGAAAATGTTGAATTTGAATTTAAAAATATGATTCGAGTTAGCATGACATATCATGCTGATGATAAAAAAATAATTCTGTATTTGGTATTTTAGATACCATACTCTCCTTTCTTGGTAAGCTATTAGAATATATAGAATATAATAAGAATATGCAAGTTTGGATGCTATTGTTTCTGTAAGATGAATCAGTGTCAAATCTACTTAAAATAGAAATAGTGTTTATGACAGGCCCGTAGCCAGGATTTACCAAGGGGGTTCACTTTTTGGAAAATTCCAGGGGGTTCACTTTTGACAATTTTGGTCCAAAAATGGCCAAAATCACTTAAAAAGTGCTCACAATGGTGAAAAACTGCATGATTTTGAAAGAACTTTTGGCCAGGGGGGTTCGCTCCAACCCATCGAACCCCCCCCTGGCTACGGGCCTGCATGACAATGACACATTGCTCTTGAAGAAAGACAATTATTACAATAAGTAAGGTGAGATATATAAATGACACTTTTTGGCACATTACTTCATGTTGGTTTGACACACTTTAGGGTGGTCTATTATGCGCTGTTGAGAGTCAAGCATCCATGATTGTCCATGATAGACCCCTCCAATAAATAAGCTGTTAATTTCAAATATTACTGATTAGATAAGTAAATAAGAATGTTATTTTACATAGCCTCCTCCTAGTCGAAGAGCAGACTCCAAAGACAGGCCTGGAAGTGTACGCAGTAGCTCACACGCTAAAACTAAAGGAGACAAAAGTGCCAAGAAAAAGGTATAATATTTAAGCTTTTTTATAGGATTTATAATTTTTGACAATCCAGGTGTAACAATGAAATATTGTCTTTACTTTGCTGTATTTGTGACTAGATATTTAAAAACATGTGGATTTTATTTATGTATCTGTTCAAAAATTGTGCTGTTAAATGTAGTAGATATGGTATCAATAATAACATAATAAACACTGTTTCTCCTAGCCATTGAACCTATAGCTCTGTACTTTCTTTTTGAACTCTTAAAAACGTTATCCAAGAATTTTTAGGATATGAGTTTTGATTTGCTATTAATAGATAGATGTCTATATTATTTCAGAGTGTCTCAAATGTCTCAGGACTACATGTATTTGTAATTATCTTTTTTTCTCATCCTCTAATTATCTTCCTTAAATAAATGTATCTTGATTTCCATATAATACTGTAGTTAGATTGTATACTTAGAATATGATTAAAATATAATTATTAATACTAATAATACAGGTGTTTGAAGAACAGGAGATAGATGATGATCCCAATTCTATAAAATCTCCGAGTTTAATTGACTCTATGGAGTTAATCAGTTGTGATACAGACCCCGAGTCTCCTGACCCCCACCCCAGTGAAAACGTAACCTAGCATGCCAATGTATCTTGTATATGATGGTGTTTAAGTGTCAGCATGTACTTTGTTCAATCAAAGCAGGTCACTGATTGTTAAATGAATAAACACATAATTGAACTAGTTTCACTGACTTATAACTTTCTACAACTTGGCTTGTCTTGCATCATGTCTATGTATTAATACATGTAAAACAATGCCAGACGAAAGATTTATCCACTTATAGTTAGCAAAAAGAATTGATTTCTTGAATCACAAAATGAATCACGAAGATGTTTTACATTCCATGCTTTGAGTACTTTAGGATATTGTATATATTTATAGGCTGGTATAGAACAGAATTAGAATGGAACAGATTTTGGAACTTGCCTTTGGAATTCAAAATTTTGGATTTCAATATAACATCTCAGTGAGAGCTTATTCTGTAATCTTTGAATGATATAAAATCAATGAAGAACTTATTTAGGATTTTTATTGCACATAAACAAGTGAAACAATATTGAAACATATAATTATTGATTTCATTGATTATAGCTTGCAGGGTAAATTTTCTTGAAAGAAAACTATGAATTCTGAAATTTTTCAAACATAAAGTAGCAGACTGAAAGTCAGTTTCGAAGGGAAAATCAGATGAAAAGACAATAACTGTGTTCCATGCCAGCCCTAATAGTTAAGACTTTGTATGCCTTCTCGGTGTAACACCTTTATTTTTTTATTGTTAAAAAGTACATGAATATACATGTATATGACATACGTTGTAATCACTTTTCTCATGATAATTGTTTTCACAATCATGATATATCACATGTTATAATGAAAAGTGATGATAAAATACGTAATAGCATAAATTAAAACATATATAAACATAATATGAAAAAATATGAAATTCTTCCTCAGGACAGTAATATAATCTTCCCTATCTAACTAGATATATCTGGAGCATAGTCTTTCTTTTGTAATGACCACACTCATTGTATAACAAACTAAATGTACATGATGACCAAGAAAATAATTTTGGCCACCCATAGCTTTCAAATGTCAGACCCCCTTGCTTGAACTTTCTTTTGATAATATAAATTTTTAATGGTTTTGCAGATCAGAAGCAAACTTTTTTCTTGTCTTATTTCTTCTATTACACGGCTTGTTGCCTGTTGTAGGATGATAAAAAGGATGACAAGGGTCATGACAAAACGAAGGGAAAGAAAGATGATAAGGACAAAACGAAAGGCAGAGATTCTAAAGGATCAAAAGGTACTTTGACTTTAAAACTAAATCAATGGTACAATCATGTATATTATTTAATAGTAATATTTTAAATGTAAATGCATATCATTACGTAGATTAACATTGCTTCAGTTCATTTGAATTCATTCAGATAGTAGATCTATGCCTTTCCATTGCCATTCTATATAACTGTTGGTTGGATTACATTGCACAACTTTTGCATTACATATTACATTCAATATATTGACTATTAATCATCAATTCACTCACTGCATTATTATAGAGCTTTACAATATGATTAATTTGGTTGATTATGCTATTAAGATCATTATTATTAGTTTACTAATGCTAAGCAATGGATTATTATATGCTTGAGTACTAACATGGTTGGAGATTCATCACAATTTGATGCACAAGTGGCACAAGAGTACTATATCCTTTAATCCAAATACAAAATCAGAATTTTAAAATGTGAATATGAAAAACTTCATGTTGGGGTATGATTTTCTACATTTTCAAGATTTTGTATTTGGGCTATATGAAAAAGAAGTTATTGTTGCATTAGAAAAGTAACACTTCATTGAAAAGGAGTGCAATAAAATCTATTTATGTGAACACTTCAAATTATCTCAATAATTATATGACCACTTTATATTTTTGAATGTCTCACTGTTGTATTGAAAGTGATCAAGAGCCTTTGAATATGAACACCTCAAGAGTCAAGGTGAACACATTTACCTTGTTCCATTCAAGAGTCAAGGTGAACACATTTACCTTGTTCCATTCAAGAGTCAAGGTGAACACATTTACCTTGTTCCATTAAAAGTCAAGGTGAACACATTTACCTTGTTCCATTCAAGAGTCAAGGTGAACACATTTACCTTGTTCCATTCAAGAGTCAAGGTGAACACATTTACCTTGTTCCATTCAAGAGTCAAGGTGAACACATTTACCTTGTTCCATTCAAGAGTCAAGGTGAACACATTTACCTTGTTCCATTCAAGAGTCAAGGTGAACACATTTACCTTGTTCCATTCAAGAGTCAAGGTGAACACATTTACCTTGTTCCATTCAAGAGTCAAGGTGAACACATTTACCTTGTTCCCTTCAAGAGTCAATGTGAACACATTTACCTTGTTCCATTAGTGTTCATTTCAAACAGATTTTACAGTAGTTTCTTTTTAATTAGTTTTGATTTGGTTAAAAGACTTGTTTCCATATGTTTGTTTCATCCTCATCAGCACATGCACAGGCTTCATCTAGTGGACGCAATTCTGGAGGTTTGTTACAGTCTAGACTTTTACTTTTTCTTACTGCCTAAATGCTTTCTAAAGGACAAGTTAGGATGGTTAACTGCAAAGTTCAGTCCTCTATAGGGGAATGGTAGGCTATCTCATACGTTTCACTCTCAATTCTACACATTATTGCAAACAATACCACTTGCCAGTTTTTTAGAAGTGTATGTAAATGTTGAGGCTTTTTAGTAACTCAAACAAATGACCTTGACCTTTTATTTACTGCTTATATAACCATCTACTACTTATGGATAAATTCAACTTTGTGTAGAATTTTGTGCAAGACATATGAGATGGGCAAACCCCCATTATACACACTAACCTTGCTTGTAGATTTTCTCTGACTAACAAACACATTTAGTTTCTTTAGATCACTTCCATGATAAGTGTCAACTTAGTGGCCTTGGCACCTCCATTAATCGCTAGCTATTGACATATACATGTGTAATCTCACCATTTGAGGTTGGGATTTAATGAAAGATTGCCTCAGGTAGAAGACAGCTACTATAGAATATAATGCTTGCATTTAATGGCCTGAGAATGGGTTAAACACATGGGCTTTCAAGAAAAAGTCAATGTTGAATGCCCATGGTTGTGACATATAAGGAGAATTCAGTTAGCACACTTACAAATAGCACACTAACAAAATATGACTGCGATTGGTGGTTAATGCAATTGATTCAACCATGGCTGCTTCGTATGCTTTTGAGCCACAATTTGACCTAGAATTGGCGACAATGCCCCTAGTATAAAGACACAGAACTTCGCTTGATTGTTTTACTTCGTAGGTTAATGCTTCATTTTTCTTGTAGTTGGTGCCAATGGTGGGTGAAAATTCAACTTTTGAATTATAGAAGTTCCTCACTGCTTGCACAATTTCAAAATATGTTTGCCAATTTCATAAAATAGATGTTCATCACATTTGCCTGAAATTCAAAGAACACCTCGATCACATTGTTTCGATTGACATTTTGTTTTCAAAGCACTCATATATGACATGTTAATGAAATATTTTTGTCACAATGAGAACTTCACATGCTTTTACAATTGATTGCACTCCATGTGTTCAGCTTTTGTTACCAGTGATTGACTGAGCAAGGATTTTTGAGAAACTTTACTTATACACCTGTATTTCTGTATTTTCATGAAATTCACAATCATCAAAAGATTCAAAACTCCCATGTTTTCGTTAAATATTTATTTCTTAGAACTAAACTCTTGAAGTATTATTTGAAGCACTAATCCTGACTAATTTAGAGTATTTTATACTGGAAGAAAAATCTTCTAATTTCCTGAAAATTTCGCTCCCAGTGTCTGATGCTCAATTAGTCCGGCATTACATAATAGTCACTGAAACGTATTAATTGATTTGTTTCTTCCATAGGGAATTTTTTGTACACTGGTAAATATTCATTTAGCATGTAACAAACACCTGTGTAGAAATAGAAGGTACATTCATAAGTACAATGATCCACTTAGCTAGCTTGATATACGGTACTGGTTAATATTAAAGTCCTATTGTAATGTTATACAGGTTCCCTTCTCCCACAAAATGATGCCCTGATTGACAGGTCCCATTGCAATAAATGACAGGTCCCATTGCAATGAATGACAGGTCTTATTGCAATAAATGACAGGTCCCATCGCAATAAATGACAGTCCCATAGCAATGAATGACAGGTCCCATTGCAATGAATGACAGGTCCCATTAAAATAAATGGCAGGTCCCATTGCAATGAATAACAGGTCCCATCGCAATAAATGACAGGTCCCATAGCAATAAACGACAGGTCCCATTGCAATAAATGACAGGTCCCATTGCATTAAATGACAGGTCCCATTTCAATGAATGACGCATCCCATTGCAATGAATGACAGGTCCCATTGCAATAAATGATAGTTGTCCGCTCAAACTGAAAAATACAAATCACATCTACTTATGCATCCATATGGTCCCTCTGGCTTATCAAATTAACAAGTCCCATTTTGTTCTCCCAGCCCGTCAACCATGAATGCATGATGTCCTTCCCTGCAATTCCATTGATCAGCTTGGCTAAGTGGATTGTTTTCTATGAATTATCTAAGTACATCTGATTAACAATGCCGCTTTGTAATACCATCTTTGCACACCGGGTTTTCACTGCATTCACCGAGTGAAGGAAAATGTAATACCCCATTTTGATGTAAGAATAACATTATTGAATGAATTAAATGTCTTGCTTGACGATTTGGTTTAAAATTCACCTACTCCTGTGTACCACGTTGTGCTAAGACCGCCTTGAATATTGTAATTTGATTCACATAAATTAAATGTTTGAAATAAAGAATTTAAAATAGAGAATATAGGGCACTATCCTGAACAATTTGAGGGAAGAAAAAACATATATTTGAAGCATGGAAAACTCATTGAATTATTCGCAGACCAGCTATGCTTAGTGTTATTCTTAAAGTTGGTAGATAACTTTTAATTCTCATGATTTCTAATATATTCCCTCTATCAACCTTTCTGTGTCATAGTATGAGACTTGATTCAAAACAATTATTTCCCCATCTTTCCCACATAGTAACATGTACAGTTAAGGTAATAATATTGCCAGAGCATGTATGGTTTTTGGGATTGTTTGTCAGTTAACCCCATATTTCTTAACCTGCATTTCATCCTTAGCCATCGTTTAATTTGATTTAAATACCTCAACCTGCAGAGTTGATTGTAGACCAGTATTATATATACAGTAATATGTATATACTGTACTTCTACTTAATTTGGCAACCATTTCAATATGGCAGATCCACCAAATTGTTGCAGTCAACCTAATTAAGTTGCGGCCAAATTCAATATTTCATGTTTCAATTGTAAATATGCATCGTATATACATTTCAGTATTGCAACTTTGCCAAATTGAGTAGCCACCAAATGTTCAAAACAGCAAATCTGCCAAAAATAAGTTGTGCCAAATTAAGTAAAAGTACAATATTCAATTGTGAAATATGTGCTTAATTTTCATTTATTGACAGTATTGTATTTTCATTATGCTTATTTTGCACAATTTTCATTGAAACAGTGAGCGATTGTCCCAAATATTTGCTACAGCCATTTCGATTAAATGTCAATATATGAATACATTAACACTTGTTCCCAATTGAATATCTGACCCTAACTTTTAATCTTGTGTGTCTCATGTAATTCTTATAGACCTTATGTGGTTATGGCGTGTAACCTTGTTAACATGCCAAAGCATTCATTTTTGGCACCATAGATTATGAGTTTCCATGCCACCTGTATGTGTTGGGTATTTTCTTCCTGATTCCTCCTTACTAGATATTATTGATCATTTTGAAAATGTGTATTTATTTTGAATACAAATGTCACTTTTCATAATAAGGTATTTTATAGTTCTTGTAGAAGTAGACTATCATTATTCATATACATTACTATAGTATACTAAATACATCCTCATTTTGAAATCTTGGAAATCTCATTTAAATGATAGCTAGCATGAATTTCTAAAATCTTCTCCAATGTCTTCAAAGATATTGGCAGAATTAAAACTTATGAGTTGTTTTCTGTTTTCTTTATCTGTATTGTATAATAAAACAGTTAAGAATAATGGATATGTTTGCAACTTAGTTGTTTATTGTATGATATTTTATGGGCGTTTGTTGCAAAATAGAGCTGTTTGTTGAAAAATACATCAACTGAGTATGTAATGCAGCTATTATTTCATTATAACAGCTGTTAATTTTACACTGCAGCAGTTATACAATACTGTTTATTATACAATGCAGCTGTGCATTACATCCTGCAAATGTTGGATAATGCAGCTGTTTATTTTTTCAGCATCCCTTGTTAGTGAAGCAGGAAAGACTATGGGTAAAACTAAGGACAAGAAGGGTGGCAAAGACAAAAAGGGCCAAGTCCAGCAGGAGACTGAGGTTTGTATGCTTTCTCAGTTGAAATAGCAACATACCAACCACTAAAGGATGGTGTCCAGTCCAAGTATCAGCAATTGTGGAATAACAAAGTTATTTTCTGAAAACTTCACAAGGGGGAGCAAATGATGGTTTCATTTGCGAAAAGTGTTGATTTTTATTGATTTTCAAGTTAAAGGTGGATCAACATTTTAAAATTTCATCTGATGAGGGGAAGTGGGGTAACATCAAACCATGATGTAGAAATTAACTTTATTTTTCACGACTTGATAATTGGACACCTTCCCTAACAGGATTCTGTTGCAGATCAACACCGTCATTTTGAAATACTGTATAAGTGGTAATTTTGCCTAATCATTTAATTTGCCTATTTCCTAATTTTTGCCAGGTTCGGAAAATTAAATGTCGGAAATATTTGTCTTTATAATGTTATCCAATGGGAGGTTTCTTGTAATTAGGAAAATTAAAATTAAGAAAATGATGAAATTTGACCATTCGGAAAATTAACCACTCGGATTAAATACCACTTATACAGTATAGTAAGGAAAGGGTAATAAGATAAATGTTATTTCCTTGCAAAAGTAAGTTTTGGGAGGGTTAGAATATAAGTAAAGGGGGAGGGGAGGTAGAGGTTTCAATTCATCATTTGTGAAAAAACAAGAGGCTTAACTGAGGATTAGTAGGAGGAAATGTTGATGCTAAAATACTATATTTTGAACACATAAGGCAGCAATTCCAATCCGACAAATCAGAGTAAGTTAATGAAAAATTATTTGAAATATTATTTTTGCATTTTAAAGCCTGTAGCTCACTTTAGAGAATGGTAGCTAATTTACAAGTGCAATATTTTGATGAAAATTATCATTTACTTTAATATTAGATGTGTTTTATCAGTATATAGGGTGTGTCATAATTATGACATCAGTTAATTTTGGGACACCTTGTATATGTGTACATGTGATGGCAAACAAAGAACAGTGAGATTTTCTCACACTTAGCTCCAACTAGTATTTGGTGTAATTGTATGATTCAATGTCTTATGTTTTTGTAGTTTAGAAAATGAATATACAATGTACTTGTGCTAGTCTATTTTATGGCACAAAGGTAGAAATCATTATCATTTGCAATAACCAATAACCATTATTGATTTATTCATGTTTTATGAAACCAGCACAGTTGTATGAATTGTTCTTGCACTGAATGTTATATGTGTTTGGAGCACTGTTGATTAATGTTAGCCAAAAATTGAAAGATAAATTCTGAACTATTAACCAGTTAACTAAAGTGCATTTACTCAGTAACTTTAATCGTTTAATGTGAGACTTCTTTTACAATTCCGAATTATAGTGTTTATATCAGGCCATTGAGTCCTAACTTTTGTGTATTTCTTAAATACTAAACCCGTAATGTTTGTAACTTTCAAAAGTTTCAAACAAGCATTTATGTAATTGCAAGTCTCATCATCTATATTTCCAAAATTGCAGATCCTAACATTCACGCTTATTTATTTGTGTGTTAGATTTAATTCCAAAGTTGCAAATTTTAACTTTTGCCTTAAAATTCATAGGCTGCAAACCCTTAAATTACGTTCGATTTTTTTCACAGTGTGCACCCTTAATTCTTTGTGTGTTCTAACACTAACCAAAGTTGACCCAGTCTGTATGCTTTAATTTGTTTAGCAGCCAGAGGTTCAAGAGGTCATCAATCCACTCCTAGAGACCGTAGAGAGCATGGATGGACAGCTATGGATACCTGGCAATAGGGTCCTTATCAGTCTCAACCTATCAAGTAAGTTTATCATGTTCATTTGAGTTTATTTTTGCTCTTAAATTATTAAGTGTGGGTGAAGCTCAATTATAAGGTTTGGATTGATTGACATACTTGTGAGAGGATCGCCATCCATAATGTCTAAAAAACTCAAAAGTGTCGGGTAATAAAAAAAGGAATTGTGATTCAGTGATCCCTTGGGACACCCCCTTTGTATATTTTAAGTACTAATGTTTTTCACCCTTTTACACTTTCTAACACATGTAACATGGATTATTTTTCAGGAAATCAAATTGGAGAAGATGGTATGAAGAGTTTACTTCTTGCTGTGCAGTACCAGACCACATTGCTCAATATTGTGAAGGGAGGGGGCAGTGGCCTAATGAGGCTCTGTTTACATGTAAGATCCACTTGACTTTCAATGTTTTAGAAAAAGAATACAAAATACGCTTACATATAAAAGGACAGTATGATATAAAGCATGTTATTGTAACATGTGATAATGTGCTTTAATGTAAGAATTAAAAATCTAGCTTTGCCGTGTCGAAAAATAATTTCTTGGGCAATGTTGTTCTTTCATAAAGTAAGTTTCATAAACACGGAGGAAGTTGCTTCTACAGCTCAGTTGTGTTGACTTAAGTCTTGATGGCTCGGGAATAGAGCGTCAGACTCTGAACTGGAAGGTCCTTGGTTTGATACCTACTGAGCATTGAATTTAGTACCACATTCCCTTTCATGTCTTGTCTGGCTACAGCTACATTTACAGTTTCCCGGAGGGTCATTACAGGGTCTTACAGGATAAGCTCAGAAGTAGAGCTCTGAACTGGAAGGTTCTTGGTTTGATTCCCGGAAGGGAGTATCTGGCTTGTTACACTACAGCTTCCCAAAGGCACCCTGTGGTTTGTACATTTCGATGGTCCGGCAGTTGACAAAATGAGTTACCTGTATATATATAGAATTATGCGCAAATCTGTCTGTTTTCAACATTTACCCCTTTTTCTTTCAGAAGAACAATTTGCCAGGAGATAATGAACACATGACTAAACTGAATGATATTATGCTTACTAAGGACCCCTTCTACAAACCACCACCTAAAACACCTGATGAGGAACTACAGAGTAAGTAATACTTCTAAAAATAAACTCCACTTTTACATGAGGAGCTTCTTCAATTAGATGTCTTTTGAAAGATGTTTATTATTCTTTACAAGTAAATAAACAATTGCTTTTAAAGAAATGTGAAGTGTGCAAGTTTTCAAAAACTCCCATTTGCAACATAAGTGTTGATGTGACCACCAAGAAGTGATGATACATTGTTTGAAGTGATAGCCATCACTTTTGTGATCAACATTTGATGTCCGAGACAATTTGTTATAATTTTGTAAATACAACCAGGTGGACATTTTATATTAATGCCGAATGGTTGAGAAATTGGTTAATTTTCTTTCATTTTCTTCCAGGCTAGGAATTCAGAAGCCAACATTTACATCCGTCCATCTATCATCCAGTCTACCTACTTCTACAGTACTAGAGTACTTCTGTTGAACAGTCCTTGCAAGGATTAAGGAACTTAAATCCTCATTATTTTGAAATTTCAATACTCTATCCAAGGCCTTAATATCATGCAATACTTAAGAAAGAGCTGTGTAACTAAAAAAGTCTTTAGAAACTGTTCTCGGACTTTTTACAAACACTTGTTAAATAAAACACCTCTGGCAGGTTCCATAGCTATTACACATAATACAGGTTTACTGTGGATTAGCTTATTACATTATCAGATGGTGATTACAAGTTGAAACAAAATATTAGGATAAAACCATCTATGAATTCAAATCATTTTTCATTTAGTGAGATTTGAAATATACTTTGGCTGTCAAAACCAGTATTAAACACAGTCTACATAAAATGATAAGACATGTGTGCTAAATATGATTTACAATATACATGTACATAATGTAAAGTTAAAGATGTTGTAAAAATGTAAATAGTGCAGTGTAAATAAAATGAATAAAAATTATATATATATCAATGTTACATTTGCAAAATTGTAAAGGATAGGCTTGTTAGTTATATTATATAGAAATGAAATAACATTTGCCTCTATATTAACAAGGCATTAACATGACAAAATGGCACCACCTAGTTGCTCACAATATTATTAGTTCAATCTAAGTCAGATTTGAATTTTTGAAAACTGTAGCAGGGGATAGAAAATTAGAAACGCGTCCAGTATTTTCATCTGGTACAACTGGAAATACTGGACCCAGACTTCCATTTTTGATACAGAGAGAGGTAGGTGTGGTTTTACTCGGTAGCCTGTGATCGTTTTACAGTGTGTCCTTATATCGAAACAAGCTCATCAGATTCCAAGTATATTGGGGAACATCCAATTCTAAGAAAATGACAGTCATTCAACTAGATGTTTGTTAAAGCACAGAAATACTTTGATTTTTTCCCAGGAAATACACGAATTGAGTCAGATTTCTTTTTCTTTACCATTTCGTTGACACAATATGCAATTTTCTTGTGTATAGAATAAGAATACAGCTTTCAAAGCTAAAATTTGCCAACAAAATTACGGTCAAAGAGGTCTTTTTTCAACTTGCTTCAAATCGACCAATTTCTTTTTCAAAATCATCTACAAGTTCTAAAAAGTTCAAATCCAATTGGCGTTGGAAGGTGCCCCCCTCATTTCCCAGATTTTTTAGATTTCAAAGCTCTAGAGCTAATTAAAGTCAATGTGTAATAATCTCAAATCTAACGTCATATTTGAACGTCTGTTACCTTGTAGATGATTTTGAAGCAAGTTGTAAAAAGACCTTTTTTGACATTGAAAAGGTCACTGAAGGTCAAATCTTATCATAAAGTCAGATTTGATCTTCTGAAAACTTGTAGATGATTTTGAACAAAACTGAAGTCAATCTAAACAGTTTTTGTTAAGTTATTAGAGGTTTTAAGAATTTGTTACAGATGCCAACCACCGTTATGGAGACCATAACAATATGTTACCACTTCTTGGTGGTGACACAAAAACCAGACATCTTTTCCTGAAGATTTTGCCTCCAGCTCAGTAAAAACAAACCAAACATTTTTTGGCCTAAATTATAGCCTACATGGTGAACCCAATAAAGATTTAACAGTTATTAAGCTTCATATCTATAATGATTTTATTCATCTATATGTTTAATAAAAATTAATTCATAATACAATCATGGAGGGTAAGTCCTCAAACCTCTATGTTTTATGCACTAATCAGTTATGACAGGTCCCATTGCAATAAATGACAGGTCCCATAGCAGTGAATGACAGGTCCCTTTGCAATAAATGACAGTTCCCATTGCAATGAATGACAGGTCCCATTTCAATAAATAAAATAAAATGAAGATGGGGTAGCCTAATGATTTACTCCTGTGTGTATATTGATTCAGAAGCACTGGTCTTGAAGTCTGAAGTCACAGCTTACCACCAGGAGTTATCATTTCAAAAGTCCCTATGATAATTATTAATGGGGCCCTATTGAGAACTGTGCATTAGACTGCATTCTAATCAGTTAGTAAAGGTCAACATGATAAAATTATGTCATGTATACCAATATTCATGATAAGACATACAAGCAATAACGTTACCAATACATGTAAGCTTTCATAATGACAAAATCAACATTAATGTTTAATATGTACAGGGTGGGCCAAAAAAAAACGCCACTTTTTTTCAAGACACTATAACTTTTTTATTTTCCAACCTATGTACCCCAAATTTTGCAGTTATATAGTGCCAGGGGGGTTCTCAGTAATAATATAATGTAACAAGCCCTTCATCTTGGATTGTATGTGGTCTAACATGTCTAAAAGAGGAGTTCAATTGGTCCGCCACCCTCTTTGATGATAGATGGGAATAGATTACTCAGGTTATAAAACTTGAAGTTCACAGTTTTAATACTGATAAGAACTTATATACAATATACTAGGCTACAGTAAGAACTGTATCCGAGGCCTTACTAAAATGTTTTTACATGAATGACCGACCCATAGAATTTCTTACCGTGTTGCCACATTGGCCCTTCACCTATTTGCATCAAATCTTTACCAAAATCCAGCCCAAAAGTAGGTTTACAGTTATTGAACAATCTCTTTCTGTAGACCTACAGACCTACTTTTGGGCCATCCTACACTCCATCAACAAGTAACATTGTAGATTGCACCATAGTGAAATACATTTTACCTGATAAATAATCCAATAATATTGTTGTTAATACTAATACACATAATGTTGTTAAAATCACGTGTTGTTAAAATCAAATATCAATATCATTAATAATCATTTTGTTAAAAATGGTGATTACAATTTAGAATCCAGTATTGAAACATCTTTTAACAAAGTCTTGGGGTGGAAATCAAAGGGCTGGTGAAATTACTATGACTCTAATCAGGTATGGTATTGACTATCTAAATTCAGGACTAGCTCATCATGGTAAGCCACAGCCCACAACCCCTTCTCTGAAATACAGTATCTAGTATAGTCTCTGTCTTGTTACTTCATCTCATTTAGTCTGTCTATATCCAAGAGTTGCCTAGCCCAAGGTGTCTATTGTTTTATAATAGTTGGTGCAATCATTGCATTAAATGAGTAGTACTTGCACTCCTTTGGTGGGTTCATTGGTACCACCTCTGTAGATATGTTCTCCTTCAGAAATCCACAATCTAGAAGTTTAGGCAGTTGACTCTCCTGAAATAATAAAACTACATCACTGTCTATTCATAGTGTCTGCTGGATAGGGTGAAAGTATTCATCAAAGAACTTTTACGTAATTTAGGTGGTTGTATCCACTTGGACCTTATAATTACTTTTTGATAAAGTGTGTATTTATTAATATCTTCCTAACATCATTCTACTTCATAATCAGGGATGAAAAATATCTCACCAACATTTTACTTAACCTAGAAAACATCTTAATCTTCCATGTTGGGGTATACATGTATATGCGAGTAGGGGATTAGGAGAATGAATTATCTCAAAAACTGAACGATCAATACAGCAGTCACGGTCACTGGCCTTCAGCATTCACTGAAGCCAATGTGAAGAAAATGTAATGTATTAAAAAAAGTAAAAACTTCTGCCACCAACAACTGTGGGAGGCCTGGTCACACTCTAGTAGCTTTACTTTATCAGCAACAGTACACACAATTTTATTGATACCCCTTGGTAATTATGATTATTATGAATTTTATGGGTTAATTATATCCCTTGAGTCATACTGTGATCAGTTAGTTATCCTTGACTTTAGCACATCAATCAATCTGGCAACAGCTTGCAAAAAGTCACCACCTTTGGCATTGTTAAATGTTAACACAAAACCTACATATTTACCTCAAACATGTTCTCTATATCAGTATACTGGTTTTTCATAAGTTCACCCCAAGACGTCAGGTTACAGTAGGTCAATACACCGCCAGGTTTCAACAGTCTGAATGCATGATTCTTTATGAAGTTAAACTGATGAGTGTGCCAGTCTTCTTCACTAAGGGGATATGTATCATACAGGATACCTGAAAGCAACATCATTTATTTTTCAAAATTTCGGAAGGATTCTTAAGAATGAATCCAAGGCACAGTTTTCAGAAGGATTTTTGAACGAATCCAGTGCACACTTTACAGAAATATTCTTGAATGGATCCAGTGCACGTTTTTAAGAAGGATAAATCATGGGCTTTCCACAGAACTTTTAAATGAGATTAAACATGTTTTATGCTTTAATCATATTCAAAATAGATTTTTCTTCAAGATAGTACTAAAGCATCTCAAACTATCTCAAACTCTTTGAAATATTATCAAAAAAGGGGAGCATGGTAATGCTCATTTTGAAGTTCTCATCTTTATAACACAGAGTTGCAACTTGCATACCCTTCTCTTGAAACCCCATGGATGAACCCAGTGCACACAATGAATCCATTGCATTTACATTTTCATCATATTTGTTTCTAGTACACATCCATTGATTCTCCACCCCACTTTCTACATTTTTCATATTCTTAAATGGAATAGCCCAGGTTTTAACTTAAATTATCCAAGTATAACCTACCATCAAAAGAAGCATCTGGCAATGAAGGAACAACATCTTCCCACATTCCTTTTAATGGCTCCACCTAAATCATAAAATGGAAATGTTATTGTACACAGTAATGTTATTAAACATATTGGTACAGTAAATGGGACTACTATACATAATCCTGCTTAGCCTATCAAACTTGATTGGTTTATTAGGTGGCAAATATTGGGGCCTTGGATTTCTTGTTGCCATCGCCCCCCCCCCCTCCAGTGCTGTTACACCTTTTTAACAATTTTGGGGTTTGGCAGAGATTAATTTCGGATCTTACCTTGTTTTTCTGTTCTGTTGCCCATTTCTGCAGCCTTTGAAACACACCATCATTACACTCAACAATTGAGTGACATTCAAGTTCAAACTCTTCAATCTTTGTAGCAGCTATAGCCATACCAAATCCAAGTTCAAGAACTCTTCCACCTAAAACAAATTAAACAAGCTTACATTTTATAAACAAGTGGTAGGCTAAAATTAAAAAACGTTGAAAAGTGGTAAACTACATCAAGTGTTCATTCGACAACATTACAGTGTCTAGGATTGAAGAACATTTTATGCTGTTCAACCGTATTGGTATCAGAAGGGGGAGGGCGTTGGGGGCAACTGCATCCCCCCTTTCCCTGATTTTTTTAGATTTCAAACCTAGCATAGAATTGAAAGCTCAAGAGCTTAAAGTCAAAGGGTAATAATGACAGAAATGATTCTATGTCAGTATATAGTCTACATCAAGCAGATTTCTAATATTATATCAGAGTGACTTAAAATAATGTTATTATATGTCTCTGATTATAGTTAATTACCATGTATAGTTTCTCAGGAACTCATACATTATGTACACTCCCCTCCATAAGTTTGGCAACCTTTTCCCCCATTGAACTACGTGTTAAAACCTCTTTACCTTTGAATTTTTATTTACTTAACCTGCGTTGAAAATACTTATACTATTGATGGAAACGTAATTTAACTTTAATTCCAATACCTCCAAATTTTCTCAATTTTTTTCCTCAACTACAATAGGTCAAAAATTGATGATAAATTTGATGAATTTTTGAAAATCCACATTCCCTTGTTAACCAATGGGAAATGGTAGGTTTGCCGCAAGTCACATGACTGAATATCCATCCATCCAAGTCCTTGCAAAAAATACGAATTAGGCAGGCAATTGAATTTGCTAACTTTATTTAACCAAAAATTGATATGTTTCTTCAGGTTCAACAAATTTATAGGGATTTTAAGAAAAATTATTTTCAAAAATGACTTGGAAGCGCTGTAACTTTAATATTCATCAAATAAACTCAACACTTAGTGTTCAAAAAAGTTAGACAATTCAATTTTCTATATAAAAATATTTTTTGCTGAATCTTTTACTGAAAAGATATCCTGAATTCTGATTTGCATTTTCCATTGGATTACATGGGAATGACGATTTTCAAAAATTCATAAAATTTATCATCAATTTTCGACCTATTGTAATTGAGGAAAAAAATTGAGAAATTTTGGAGGTATTGGAAATAAAGTCAAATTACGTTTCCATCAATATTATAAGATGTTTCATCACCAGTTAAGTAAATAAAAATTCAAACGTAAAGAGGCTTTAACACGTAGTTCAATGGGGGAAAAAGGTTGCCAAACTTATGGAGGGGAGTGTACATACTTTGAAGAAAAAGTGCAAAATGTATATTTTAGTAAAAGTCGAAGTTTTTTAGTCAAAGTCAAGATAAGTTTTCTTGGGATTATTGTGCTTGGCCCATCCATACCCAAAAGTCGCCCCCTCCCTTGGCAAATCCTCCTGACGCCTGCACATGTATTGTGTATTCTGTACAAAGACGGTAAGCTTAGCTTTGAGAACATTTTGTTTTACCGGTTTTGGCCTTTGCGGATTGGCCTAACTTTGACACTTGGGCTTTGACAAAGACAGATACTAGCCAGGTGGGAACGAAGAAACATGTGCTCTAAAGTCAATCAGATACAAATAAATTATATATGTAAGGCCCGTAGTCACTGAGGGGGGGGGGGTTCCCAGGGTTCAGGCAATTCAAATTCTTTCAAAATCATACAGTTTTTCACCATTTTGAGCACTTCTCACTTAAAGTTAAGTGTTTAGCCATATTTAGGCCAAAATTGTCAAATGTGAACCCCCCCGGAAATTTTTGAAAAATGAACCCCCCCCCTTCGCAAATCCTAGCTACGGGCCTGTATGTTATATGTCTCTGGTTAATACGCCGCTAATAATTTATTATACGCTGAACACAAATTGTTTGATACTGACCCTTGGATGCGGCAATCGTAGCCAATTTGTGCATGAAAGGAGTCTCCCATCTTTCCATCACTGGTTTGCCCATAATTTCCAAGTGCTCGTCAGTTTCATCATAATCAGCAGTCGCATCTGTCCACGATCTCTTACAGTCTTCGCCATCATCAAATATCAAGTCAGTTTTACTCTTTTTAGCAGATATTTCTTGTGAATTTTGACTGGGTTGAGAATGAGTAATATCAGCCATGGTGCCTCGTTGAATATTTTCCAACTCCTATCTTTTCCCGCGCAAAATACTTCAGATGACGTCACGACGGGGATTCCCAATTTGGGGATCGATCAATATAATATTCAATGCACTTCTGCTTTCTAGATCAAATGATTAGAAATCCATGGTTCTCCACACCATATATTAATTTTGAAATGTAGATTTGTACAATTTATTTGGGAAAAATTAGTGCAATAACACATTGAGAATTCTACTCCCGGGATTCTACTATTTTAGGATAGACTCCCGGGATAGACTCTACCGCTAAACCATCCACAATTTTTATAAAATAGTTATAAGATTAAACATTATCTCAGATAAAGGACTGAAGAATATTAGAAAAGTCGTATTAAAGATATAATAATCGCATGACCAATACGAGGTAAAAGAGAGACAGACAAGCACACAAAGAAAACCACGACACGTTCGGAATTATTATGAAGATCATAAAAGTAGATCGTTCGGAAGTCTAGTGTACTACACATGCGCATTTATTTACCGGGAAATTTTGACAAAACACTGAAACTCCTGATAACAAAACTTCTCAAATGTCATCAAAACGATTGAATCTCGTAGTAGCCTCGTGCAAAAACAGAGGTATAGGTAAAAATAATCGACTTCCATGGCGTTTAAGGTAAGTGTTATGGAGATTTGAGCATGAAATTTCATTTTCATTTTTTATTTTCAGTCACTGAGTCAGAAAAATTCAGTTGGGGACATAAATAAATGAGGTGGATTTGCTGAAATGAGGATTTCCCATGTTAAAAATAAGAGAATTTACAAGAGGCCATAAATCAGTGGATGAGATTATACAAAATGTAAAATATACAAATTTTAAGGGATATGTATCTAGACAATATTGGAAATTATGGGCTTTCAGACCACCATAATTAGGAAATGGTGATCGAAAATCGACCTGTCATTTATTTTTGTCCCCAACTGTACAGTTGAGTTTGGTCCATAACTTAAATAATTAGTCGAGTCAGATTTTTTTCGAAGTCTCCTCTGCCGAAGCCAGTGCAAAGTAGGAGCGTAGCGACTTACTTCCTGCGAAAGCTATTTGGATTTTGATATAATAGCTTTCCCACAGAGCTAGAGTCCATTTCACTGGTTCGTCAGTAGAACGGCAAAAATAAGAAATTGGGAGACCATTGTGCAATAATATATGGAAAAGTATATTCATAATGTACATGAATGACATTTGTATATCTTGGATTGCTTCTACAGTGCTGGTATATATTAATTGATCAGTCGTTTAATTGGCATATTTTCTTGAATTTTAACATTTAATGTTCCAAACTCCCACAAACTGCAGAAAAGTATACCCCATAAATCATATTTACCAAAATGAGTGTCTCCAAGGCTTCACACCAGCGTATGTATAATGCATTTGTCACAAGTTTGAGCTGAAATTTCTAGTGATTTCGTTTCGTTTCATGGAGTTCGTGTTTCAGTGTAACTTCTGCAAAAATGGCGGACCATGGACAGAATTAACAGGTAAAATCACTCCGAAATTTCAAGAGAACTTTTTACCTATAATAGCAAAACTTTTGTTTTATTTGTGCATTCTATCTATCAGATAAGAGCCTCAGGGGTATGTAGGGAAATTCATTTTGATAGGAGCACTCTGTTTAGTTTGAAAACGCACCCTTAATTATTATATATCAGCACTGTATGTACATTATGAATATACTTTTCCATATATTATTGCACAATAGTCTCCCAATTTCTTATTTTTGCCGTTCTACTGACGAAATGAAGCAGTGAAATGGACTCTAGTCATATAAATCCGACCATTGTATGCTATATTTCTCGTTCTTTTTTGATAGTTTGGATATTTATTTTCTATTATTTTCTTGCATACTAGGGTCGTAAAAATTACCTTATTGGATATTGCGGGAAACGCTTTCCTGGCCTGTTTCGGCAACCAAAATCACACAAATGATGTATTAGAATAAGTTCTTCATCTATAATGTATTAAATCCTACCTTACACACGTCAAACACTTGATAATTGAAGAAGTATAAGTATTTTTCTGAAAACAATTTTTTCCCAATGTGTAGATGCATTCTGGGTGATGATAGTGTAAAAGTAAAAGTCTAGGTGAAACGAAAAATGAAATTACAATAAACTACGGCAGCCATATTGAGATCAAGATTTCCACTCGAAAAAGTTGTACAGGGGGAGGAAGGCGGCTTCTGGCGATTGAATCTCCTTCTCGGACACCAAGGAGGGTGAAGAAACCGAAAACAGATATGTTTGTAATAAATAATTACGATTTCGTTTTGGTTGCATGGTTTCACATTTAGACTGTATTCAGTGACCTTGAGAGCCATATTGGAAATTGGTTCAAACATATACGAAAATGATTACATTTCTTCAATTATCAAGTGTTTAAGGTAAGATTTAATACATTCTAGTCGAAGCATTGGATCTATTATCTTATCTGTGTAACTTTGGTTGGGCATAGAGGGCAGAAAAACATTTACCGCAATATACTGTACCTAATACTCTCGACGCAAATGTTGAAAACAAAAATAAAAAACAAATATCCAAATCGTCAAAAAGAAACGTGAAACAACAACATTAAGTCGAGTTCACTTGACTACACGGAGCATTTGGACAGCTGAATGATTGTGACCTTTGAAATCGAATTAAGTCGATCCGCGGCTTACTTTTGGTCTCTAACTGTGTCTTACATCAGTATCATCAATCCGTGTAAGTACAGGGTGTTCAAAAAAAACGCAACCCAAAGAAATCGCAATATCTTGGAAAATACTAATCCAATTATGTTCATATTTTCAGGAAAGAAAGAAGAGACTGTGTATGTATAGCCCCTGTTGTTAGTTAGTTGTAAAACATGATATCTTGGACACTTTCTCAAAAGACAGTTGTACTAGCAAAATATGAAAAACGTGAATGGAAAATCACTATATCTTGGAAAATATTAATTCAATTGAATTATGTTCATTTTTTCAGGAAAAGAAAGAAAAGACTGTGTATGTATAGCTCCTGTTGTCAGTAAGTAATAAAACATGATGCATTGGACACCTGCTCAAATGACAGTTGTACTAGGAAAACATGAAAACACAGTCAGAGGTGACTGCCACAGCAATAAAACCAAATAACTTTCTAACCATGGTGTTTTGGCACTTCAGATTTGGCACAAATTATCCTCATTCAATGTGTAGTGAATTTGTGGAGTTTCATCAAAATCACTCCAGGAACTTTACAGTCATGGTCAAAATGGCTTCTTAAGTCTCCCTGAACCAGGGCGTTTGACTGCGATTTGAAAGCATTTCAACCATAACTGTAAAGTCCCTGAAGTGATTTTGATTTCACTCTACAGATTTACCATACAATGAATGAAGATGATTTGTGCCAAATTTGAAGAGCCAAAACACTATGGTTAGGAAGTTATTTAATTTTTTCGCGGTTGCTGTCACCCCTGACTGCGTTTTTCGTATTTTCCTCGTACAACTGTCTTTTGAGCAGGTGTCCAAGGCATCATGTTTTACAACTAACCATTTACAGGAGCTGTTCATACACAGTCTCTTCTTTAATTCCTGAAAATATGAACATATGCTCAAGGACATGACCTCATATCTATTTATAGATCGTCAAGAAATCGTTAAAAAAAATTTCTGACAATTACAAAAATATGAAAGTTGAATAAACATAAAATATCACTGAGCAAAGCCCCTGGCTTTCGCTTGATTGTAAAATCTAGACAATTTCATTGGTTGGATTGCGCGTATTAACTAATAAACAACACGTGCGGTGAAACTTTATCAACAAAACTTTTAACTCTAAATCCTACCGAGGATATTTCTTCTTATATTTCATGATTTTCGAAACATTTTCACGAAATAACGATTGGGGAACATAAAAGAATATATATTTTATAAGTTGTGTGAAATTGACTACATTTAAGAGGAAAAGGGGGATTATTTCCTCCAACTTTTGGTGATTTCATCTGCCCGCCGCAGTGTCTATTCCGAGACACTGCATGGGAGTTTGTACCCTTTGCATTCGTTTGACTTCGTCTTCACTCTTTCAAACTAAAATAAACCTGTGAACTCACCGCGCCAATCAGTGTTCGTCGGCAAAATTTGACCGACGTTCTATATATGGTCATTCCTTCTGACGTCATCGTTGAGCCCGGAATTGACCAATGATATGCGCCTATTTAATTAGAATGCATTTGGCGTATGTTTCTTCAAGCTCGCTGATTGGTGGAAGAAAGGTCAGCGCGTAGGTCAAAAGTGATTTGTTACCCAAACTGTCACCGGTATCCGTCGTGGGGGCGGTGCTACCAAACTGTAATAAGGTCTCTACTAGGCAGTAGGCAGAGTGTAGTTTAACTAGACTCTACATGCAGGGTAGGGAGTTTGACAAGAATGTTAGAAGATAAATATGTTAGAAGAGATGTTCATCTTAAAGTAGAAGTAAAAATATTTGGATAAGGCAAGATGATATCAAATAATGAAATGTTCAAACTCACCAAAACTTCAGTATGTGTTCAATAAGTAGGTCATGTTCAATAAGTAGGTCATGTTCACTAAGTAGGTCGCGCAACCAATCTCAAGGACGTTTGAGTTCAGAAAACCCAAATGAGATTTGCAAATTTTTTAACTTTGAATTTCAACCTCAAACACATGACCACTTGATTAGCTCAGCCTTCTTTATGAATTTTCCCCCTCTGTTTATTCTATATGACGTAAATCAATCAGTATAAGGTAATTGTTTTATCATTATACAAACTTATTGTAACGTTTTATTCAACACCACATTTTACAATAGGTCACTTACAGTCTGAATTTATTCAGACAAGGATACTGTCTATTAAGTGGTTCTATAAAAGCACATATTATTTTTCAAAATTCGAAAATTTTAGATAACTAGACTCTGCGCACAGGGTAGCAATCAATTGACAATGAAAAATAAGAGTTTACCTGGTGAATGAGACCTTCCTGTGCCTTCTAGATGGTAGTAAACACTCACGAATGTAACCATATGAGTTTAATTTTGCGTATAAAGAGCATGAGTAGAGTTATCCATGAAATTAATTTTAGAGTGTCTACTTCATTTTCAACTTTTCCATTTTTCCATATCTCAGAGCATTTCATTCAGAGCAATCCATGCATGGTTTCCAGAAACAGTTTGCTCAGGTAGAAAGCAACTTACTTTTTCACCCATTGGAATACATGTAAAATTGGCAAAGTTCAAATCATAATTTCTCAAATCCCAGCCCATCGACTCCTCGCATCCGTTCAGATCATGTAGTCCTATTCAAAAACTTCCCGTTCGGTTATATGGTGAAAAAAATATCCCACGAACGAAAAAAGATTTTGCTACATTTATAAGCGAGCATTGATTTCTGGGCCTGTAAAAAGCACGTAGGACCTGATTACCCCATTGATTTACTGAGACCGCCAAAAATATAATTCAATTTTTTGGTTCAAAATTATAATCTGTCAGCGTTCCCTGACACTCCTACTAGCTATTACCAAACATTAATTGTCAATACATGTACACATATACGTGCCATACATCTACAAAGTAGCAAACTAGTGTTTTAAGTACTACTTTTCCTATACCATGACCAAAACAAATCCCACGTGGGTTGTATTGACCCTATTAGTGTCATGGTTGACTGAATATGCATTTTGTTCAATATGAATTTTAAAGTTCGGGGTTTTATGAAGTGATATGTACATTTTTGCTCAAATCCCCTCAGCACTTTTGATTTTATAGGGTTCTCTTGACCCCTGGGGTCATTATATTTTGTGACAATTTATTCCAGACTAAATGAAGTTATTTTGTCATTAAAATATCTTATTAGAGAAACGTTCAGGAAAATTTGCGCTATCCACAAGACTTCTTGTCACTGCACTGATAAATGTAGCAAAATAGGCAAAATAATTCAGCCTTGAGCACGAAAAATTTGATTTTTTGGACAAATTTTGGGCTATTTTGGGGGATTTTTGCCCATAACGATACTAATCTACTTAAAACAGCTGTTTAAAGTTGTACAAATTGCACAAGTGATTTATATTCTCTCATGAGTATTACTATTTGCTACTTTACTAAACTGAACATCATTGATTTTTCCTTTTTCATGAAGTTCTGATGGCAAGTTCAAGTAGCATTGTCTTTTGTGCAGGTTTACTGAATACGTCCCTTTAAAATTGGTTATTTTGTGGGTTTAAAGGGTCAAATTGTTGGAACTTCGCACACTGTGGAACGTTTGGGGTATGTTTCCTTTAATTTCACAAGAACTGCATCAAATTACTTGATAAAAGAGCAGAAATGTAGCAATTTAGGCTGAAAAGTACTGTTTTCAATGAAAAAAACGAAAATTGCTGACTCAGCAAAATTTAGATCGTCGTCTCCAGAATTTTAGGGGTTAATTTGCAAAACTTTAAATGGTTCCACAGAAAGGTATGCGAAATATGGCTAAATTCGACATATTTCTCGAAATTCACTAATAAATGTGGTTGATATTAGGTAGAAAGCAACTTACTTTTTCACCCATTGGAATACATGTAAAATTGGCAAAGTTCAAATCATAATTTCTCAAATCCCAGCCCATCGACTCCTCGCATCCATTCAGATCATGTAGTCCTATTCAAAAACTTCCCATTCGGTTATATGGTGAAAAAAATATCCCACGAACGAAAAAAGATTTTGCTACATTTATAAGCGAGCATTGATTTCTGGGCCTGTAAAAAGCACGTAGGACCTGATTACCCCATTGATTTACTGAGACCGCCAAAAATATAATTCAATTTTTTGGTTCAAAATTATAATCTGTCAGCGTTCCCTGACACTCCTACTAGCTATTACCAAACATTAATTGTCAATACATGTACACATATACGTGCCATACATCTACAAAGTAGCAAACTAGTGTTTTAAGTACTACTTTTCCTATACCATGACCAAAACAAATCCCACGTGGGTTGTATTGACCCTCAGTGCATACCTTCCTGCCTATTTTATTATTCACCACTGTAATATTCCTCTCTCACATTAATGGAATAACAAACTCACTGTATGTACAGAGATCGCCTAGTATTAAAAGTGGGTGATCAAAGACTCGACAAGATGCGCAAAATCCAAAATGTCGGAGGAAAGGTATGTTTGTTTGTCTTCTCTTTACCAGTTTAACGTCATCTTACCTACAGATGGTATTCCATATGCTGTATAAGAGACTCAAGTTTCATTTGGTAACAGGATTCAGTGATTAAATCAACCGAAATACCTGAACTGAGTTGATAAAAGAAACAAAATCAAAAACCCGTCGAACGAAAATGTATTTTTCACAAAATGTTCTGTGTTTAGATTGCCAAAACCACTAAACCAATATCATCCATGGTTAATATACATAAAACTTAACATTACATGCATATCAGACGTTCCAACTCCCCTTCAGTATCGAGTAAGGAGGATGTTATAAAAAAAAATTATGATCAGCCAAGTGAGTGATTTTACCATGTGGATTCTAATGATATGTTCTTTGCATTTCAGAGTGGTTGGATTTACATGTTTCTATTGTCCTTTACTACGAACTGTGAAATTTCAAAACATTATAAATCACCTTATAGAACACCATGAAGATGAAATGATGAAGATGAGAAAGATTATTGAAAATAGAGGCAAATTTAGAATGATTACAAGGACTATGAGCTTGACAAGTAAATATTTGGTTTTAATTATAAATCAAACAAATCGTTAATGTACATATGACCAAAGCCTAAACTGGAACTTTTCCTCAGCCCATCCACATAACGCTGTCTAGAATAGCATAGTATTTATTTCACTTTGTTTCTCTAAAAACGCCCACTAGGCGTTTATTTCGCATTCGATTACATACAATTCTAACATTTTCAAGCTAATCACCTATACACCTTAGTTGAAAATTGATCAATAAATCTTCTGAATATTGAACTATAGAGCAGCTTTCCCCTATACCTATCATTTACATATGACCCAAGTTAGCCACCTCGTGGTGAAACTGGGAACTGACTACTGGCATCTACTGAAGGTCATTACATTTTTCTATAACTTATTGATACCTTGCTGCAAAAGAATGATTTAATTCCCCAATGAAATAGAAAGTGTACAATTCAGATTTAATAAGTTTATTATGAGACCCATGTCCATAATAACCACAACCATGACAATGGGTGATACAGTGACATACATTTTCATTTATGATTTATTCAATTCTTGCATTACAATTCGACAATCATCTTAGATGCCAAGGTGTTAAGTTTTCATACCTTGGAATCAGAGGGTAAAATAAATGGACTGAAATGTGACTTTAAAACTGTTCCATTTATAAGGTGTTACGCTTCAAGAGGTTTTTCACTTAGCAGTGTACAGTGTACATAGACAGAATAACAAAATATACGCACACAGTGACCATTTAATCGAATGAATCAATGAACGGTGATGTACATGTTTATTTTAATTTGGACATACATTTTGCATGAAACCCCATTTTTCTTCTCTTTAAAGCATATAGTGTATGATCTGCTGAAACTCACGCTATAGGCCGATCAATTCATTTCTGTGTTAAAATACTTATTCCATGTTATTTAAGAGGAAACGTGAACTTTATCATGGTCAAATGGAAGCCCAAGACCCTACCTCAGTATAAAAAATTAAAGTGAGTAACAATCTTCTATTGTTTTTGATATTTTAAAGCTTTTTAAATAGAACAGCACATATTATATCGCATTTATATCTTTACATCGTAAAATCAATCACATATACGAAAAATGGTCAAAGTAATATATATTTCTCAAGGCATATGGGTGTTCTTGTGCCTACAAAACCTCATTGAATCACCAGTAGCGTGTAATATAAACACAAATAAATCTTTTAAAAATAACCGTTACAAGATATTTGAATTTTGCGCATCTTGTCGAGTCTTTGATCACCCACTTTTAATACTAGGCGATCTCTGTACATACAGTGAAACTGTTGATGTCTAATTAACCATAACAATGTACTCCCGGGGCTATATGAAATTGAAATTACATTGAACTGGTGAATATCATTTAATATTCAATGGAAGTCATGTGACCAATCATGGATCATGGACCAATCAGACAGTGAGGAATATGACAGTGAAATAATAAACTATCATAAAATGGTGAGCTTTCAACAGTAAGTTTTGTTACTTTTTATGATGAGATTCTATTGCACCTTACCATCCATTCTCAGTACAATAGAAAAATATGACAAGTATCTGAACAGTGGTTTGGTCAATTCTAACCCATGATCTGTTTTCTTTCAGTGGTGACATGGCATTCTTTAAAAGAATAACAAGTGATACTAAAGACAAAAGTAAGTTAATCATTCTGGCATTATGCTAGGCCAGTAGCCAGGGGGAAGGTTGGGCCAACCTGATCAAAATTGTTTAAAAATAATGCAGTTTGGTTGGCCACCATTGTCAAATTTGAACCCTCTTGAAATTTTTTTAAATGGGACTGGAGGCTAAGACTTACTTTACTCATTGGCTTATAAAAGGGAAATTAAAAAAATTCGAATTTGTATAAAATCTCTACAATCCACTTTATCAAGAATTGGGTGATGGAACATTTCTTTAGGATCTTAATATTGTGCTACATAGCTATATGTTCATTATCCCACCGAAGGAAGTTCGAAGGGGATATAGAGAAGCCGTCCGTCCGTTCGTCCGTCCGACCGTGTGTCCAGGCGATAACTCCAATACCGGTTGACGGATTCGGCCAATTTTCGTAAAAAACGTAATCTTTGATAACTCATACCAGTGAACGGATTTGGTTCAAATTTTATATGATGATGCCTAGTTCACAATGGTATAAACTAACTTTGTGCCAAATTTCATGCTTCTATCACAAAGTGCACAAACATTTCAACATTTACACTAGCTATAATAAGCATAATATGTTTTGTTCGGTGGGATTTGCTACTCCGTGGAGTTGCTGTTTTTCAAGTTGTAGTTTCTTTAATTCTCAGGGTAAGTGGGAAGGAAAAATATAAAAACTACTGATCCCGTAAAGCAAAAAATATGAATACATGTTTATTTTTCAGGTAAACAAAATGCAGTAATTATGGGAAGAAAGACCTGGCAGTCTATCCCAGAGAAGTTCAGACCTCTGCCAAACAGAGTGAATGTAGTGATTAGCAGAGAAATGAAGTATGTTTATCATATGTTTTGTATCGTGAAATATTGTACACTTTGGGAGGGGAAATACCCCAGAATTCTTAGACAAACCTATTTCAATAAATTCTGGGGTATTCCATCTTTTTCTTCTGGTTTGATGGATTGATTTTGAAGATATTGAAGAATATTTTGGTGTGAAAATTTAAACCTAATCATTATTAGTTTTTTCGGCTGGATAGAGTATATGTTGGTCAATTCAAATTTTTTAACCTCATCTACTATGATTTGGCTATAGTGCTGTTGAATGTCATTGCTTTCTTTATAACTCTTTCTGGGACATGTTCCAGGGAGGCCCCTGAAGGTGCCTATATAGCAAGGGGACTTGATGAAGCAATTGATGTTGTGACCTCCCCAGCCTTAGCTGATAAGGTTGAAGGTATCTTTGTCATTGGAGGTAGTTCAATTTACTCAGTAAGTACATTTGTATAAACTGTCTATGTGATATATGATGATGTATTACATACCTACCGAAGCATTTGTATGGAAGTCAATGGGAAAGTTAGCGAGCTATATCCACCGATATTGCCCGATTACCCCGATATAGCCCGCTTACCTCGTTTTGATATTAGATTTCTTTAATAACCATGATAATATCATGACGTCACGTCATTGATACAAGTAACCATGGGAACAAAGGCATGTAATACATCAGTTATGTCACTATGACCTGAAATATGCCTTCGTTCTTGCCCAAATATAGAGCCTCCCAAGGTCGGCCTATATTGGGAGAACTCAGGCATATTTCACGTCATAGTGACATAACCTCTAAATATTCACTGACATACAGGGTGATCAATAAATAAGGTAAAAGTATCTGGCATTTTGTGAATATTGGTACAAACATCCTGAAATTTGGTCAGAATATACCTTGTACATTTCGAAATTAAAACGTATAAATATATAACTTCTTCCATCTGATTGGTTAATATTATAGTTACTATGGCAACTGGAGTCGGGGGTACCCGGGGCAATTTCTTTGCTTCCAATTTGAACAAAAATTGGTAAAAAGCACATCCTTTTCAAACTGAAAAGAAATAAACGTGGGTGACAGTATTTATTGTTTTAATACTTTGTTTCCATTATTACATATTTTCTCGCAAATTTGATGTTTGATGTCACGGAAAAGATAAATATATAATGAAAACTGATGTGGTCATTGAAAGTCTATGACACTGAGGTCAATGATGAAAAACAATACCCACAGAAGAGATTTGATGAGAACAAAGAGGAAGAAGCTAAGGGGCCAGAAAAATGATTTAACACAGGGTTCGAACTTAACTTTTTAGACTGGTAGTGAAAATAGTTACCTGACATTTTTTCTAGGTAACTAAATTCCAAAGTAAGGTAGTTTTTTTTACCGGTTGAAAAAATATCGATAGACACAGTTTTCCTTGACACTAAAAACAAATCTATCGATCTGTTGATCTCAAGTTTATTATAGTTTACAAAATAAACCCTCTCCCTTTAATATGACATTAAAATAAGATATAAAAAGAACTGGATCATACAGGACTATCCTTCTTTCCAGAATGATAGATATATTTACCTCAAAAAATAGTATTTTTCTGACTCAAAAGTAAATAGAATTAGCTTTAAAAGACCTTAGAAGAATGTTTCAAGTCAATCAATTCAGAGAAAAGATGTTGTCTTATGAGAACATAAACATTGGTAGTCATGTGATCAGACCAAATTATAATAGACCAATCATGTTGTTTCAACATTCAAATTTAAATTTCCCACTATAATAAACATTCCTAAGTGGCTCAAAGTGAAAGGTCAACCTGCTTAATTTATGCAGCTGTTGCGTTGGAGAGTTTCCCTCCCCAAGATTTTATTTTTTTAATTTCAAATCTACTTTGTGAAATGGGAACTGCAAACTTTATTGAAGGGGGTATGCTTATTGAAAGCAATTACTAGTATTTTTCTCAATAGATGTCTCCCTCACTCACTAATCAACAGGAAGTTAGCAATCTTCAAAAAGTATCTTAATAATACGGTGATTTTACCTGAAAATTGCCGATTTTTAAGACTTTATTTTAGAAAAATAAGAAACTGTATGGTAAGTAAACAGTTTATCTTATGTTTTGAGAAGTTATAGCCTAAAAGCTGAAGTGAAAGAGGACGAAAAGTGCCAAAGAAAAAATGTTTTATCACGGCAGCATATTTTCATTCTCAGCATTTTTTCAATTGAGAAGTTGAGTTGACGATCGTATAGAGATCTTCCCATAAACCAGGAAACTGTTTTCGTTACTTGGGCATGTTGCTAGGTAACGATTTGAGAAAATGAAGGAACGAATCGTTACTTCCGCAACGCTAATTTCGAACCCTGTAACATGACTTTGAATGTTCCTCTCTTTCCAGCTAGCCCTTGAATCACCACACTGCCATAGGATCTACCATACAATGATTTAACATGACTTTGAATGTTCCTCTCTTTCCAGCTAGCCCTTGAATCACCACACTGCCATAGGATCTACCACTCAATGATTTTACATGACTTTGAATGTTCCTCTCTTTCCAGCTAGCCCTTGAATCACCACACTGCCATAGGATCTACCATACAATGGTTTTACATGACTTTGAATGTTCCTCTCTTTCCAGCTAGCCCTTGAATCACCACACTGCCATAGGATCTACCATACAATGATTTAACATGACTTTGAATGTTCCTCTCTTTCCAGCTAGCCCTTGAATCACCACACTGCCATAGGATCTACCATACAATGTGTTTACATGACTTTGAATGTTCCTCTTTTTCCAGCTAGCCCTTGAATCACCACACTGCCATAGGATCTACCATACAATGATTTAATATGACTTTTGATGTTCCTCTTTTTCCAGCTAGCCCTTGAATCACCACACTGCCATAGGATCTACCATACAATGATTTTACATGACTTTGAATGTGACACATTCCTACCTGAGTTTGATACTGAAAAGTTCCAGCAAGTTACGTGAGTGGTATAAATTTCTTCTTGATAAGTACATGTATCAATCTCCATTTTTAATTTGCTCAAAAACTTCCACAATAATGAAGACAAAAACAGTGAGACAATCACACACATGCCAGTTGAATACTTATGAAGTTACAGATGTCTAATCTTTCAAAGCCTGATTTCTAAGTTTCACAAAAATGTCAGTTAGGATATTATTATTCTCATAGGGTGATGTGCCAACAGTAAAGACTCGATGTAAAGTCCCCCACTTCATTAGAATTAACAAAGTGTAGAGCATGGGTAGCCTTGCTTTAAGCTTCTGTGTTGCCCCCTCCCCCATTTCTTTCTCCTATCTGGAAAATATGTGAAAGATGTAAGCTGGGTCATGAGGGTGGGATTGAGGGTGACCAGAGAATTAAATCAATACCTAGCTGTAGGCCTTATCCATGTGAAATGATTTCCAGATTTTTACTTTTCAGACATCCCGATGTACCAGAGAACATACAGACAGACAAAAACAAGGACAAAGATATCAGTTACAAATTTGAGGTGTTAGAAAAAATTTGATCATGACCATATTAGATATATGGAGCTTGAGCCATCGCCATAAAATGGGTCTGGACCTTAAACCATGATGCAAGATGAACCTTAGGGAGGTTTTTGTAAACTTTAGTTTCACATGCATACATTTTATTCTACCACTGATGTAGACTAGTACAATCCAGTGCATAGTCCAAGAGAATTTAAACATGGTTGACTTTTTAAAGAATTCTAGCAAAAGACATCATCGCACGGTCTGTCTTCACTGTGACGGGAGCCGAGTGAACGAAGATGTGCAAAAGAAGGATTTGAAAGAATTGGTCATTCTTTCATTTTGGTGCATATAAGTTTGGTATAAAAAATGACTAGTAAATAAATGAAAAGCGTGTACATGTGTACCGCCAGAGTGCTTACCCCTAGTTTTTGGCCTCAGATGTGATATGAATGCAAGTCAGGGTGCTCACTAGGGTTTTTGTAGACTAAGCTTTTTTAGAGTATTTAAGCATTCTGATACTCATAGCATCTTTCTGTTTCACCTGAAATCATCTCAGGGCTGAGAAGAAATGAGATGTCATGGTTTATCATGATGGTATTTAAGAGACAATTTCAAATTAAGATGCACTTATTTTTATCTTGAACTGTACTGAAAAATCTGTAATGACTGATCATGATAAATCTTTATATCCTACTATCCGACCTATACAAAGTAATCACCACCATCTTAAATTTCTGATTCTTTCATCTAATATACATGCACATAAACATTGTACCTGAGACCATCATAATTTTATAAAACTGAAAAGGGTTTATTGAAATACACTGGTATCTAATGATATAGTTTACAAATGATGTTTGAATAGTTTCTAAACTTGTATTCACAAATGTAACTACCAGCTTGCGGCTACTGGGCAGAATTGTTGAAGGGTCACTTCCAACTGAACATTCAAATCCACAAAACATGCCTCCATTTTTGATGAACAAATATGAGACAAAATGGTGAATTATGTATTTGCGTCACTCGTACTATGAACAACTATAATATCAATAAATTGAGAGACCTTCTTTAAATATTCTTATATTGTATGTCAGAATTCTACTCAAGTTTTTAAATATGTAATCAGATTTTGATAATACTGAAAATTAAAAAAGTTATTAAAGAAAAAGTGACCCTTGAACAATTCTGTCCGGGTTACTATGATATCTAAATCGTCGTCTCAAATACAGTCAGACATTTACTGGATGAACCGTTCAGATGTTTATGATAATTTTATAAATATCATATAGCCCTACGTCTAGTCCTTAAATGATTGTTCTTGTGAAGTAGTCAACACAAAACATGGTTTCACTCTTTGTTTGTTTTCATTATGATCATTTATTGTTTAGATTTTTTAATAACATGTTCTTAAACACTCTCAGGTTAATTTGTTTGTTGTTCCAATCAGTTAACTTTTTTTTTACTAAGGCTTTAAAATATTAAAATTCCTCTAGCTCTAGGCATTGTTTTTTTGTAATTCAGTATAAGGCTAGGCTAGTTCATTCTGTATCCTAGTTGTAGGGTCTCAATTTGGGCCCATGCTTTTTCCTGTCGTATTTTCTAGACTTCAGTCCAAAATTCCAAGGAAACGGTTTCTCCGTGGCAGCATAACGTTGCACATAAGATGGTTCAGCATCTAGTAGACTTTCGACGTTGTGTGCTAAGTCATCTTTCGGGACATCTACGTCATTTTCTACACCATTGCGCTGATCATCGTTCCAGTTGTTTTCAGATCTCTCTGTTGTTCTGTCTGTTGTTTCAATTGCTGTTGTTGCATGTGTTGTTCTCGCTGATGTTGTTTCACTTGCTGTTGTTGTTCCAATTGCTGTTGTTGTTCCAATTGCTGTTGTTGCTGCTAATGTTGTAGTCGGCGTATCTTCATCTCTTTTGTGTCTCTCTACCAATCCCTGAATCCATTGAAACTTAGTCAGTAAACGAGATATTTACTTGAGCCTAGCCTCTCCGATAATATTAATTGTAATTTCTCAAAAATTTGCAATGAAAAGGGATAAAGATGCTGTTTTTGGTCCATACAATGAGAACGAGAAGTTAAGCTAGACGTCTTAAATACTCGTACGTGAACGTCTAGAATTATTGTCATCTGGGGATACTTCATACAGTTATACCCTTGGTAGTAATTACCTGCCAAATTATATAAAAAGTTGTATCTAGATCCCTGGAAAAACATTTGAGAGGAGGACATTTATCCCTGGTTGCCATAATGTTACACGTTCACGTACAAGTTCCTCTAAAACGTGTAGCTTTACCTCCCTAATGACTCTTAATAAAACTAAAATTCAAGATTACTGAATCACTGAATTATACACACTAAATCTACTTCATTTATTTGACATCGCACTACTGCCTCTCTTTCCACATCATACGAAGTATAAGTGATAATTAATTACAAGTGAAAAATAGTATCTAAGTGAACACTAACCATCCAGTGACCATGTATGTAGCATTATTGTCAATGGTTTCACATAAACACTTACAAAGGATCAAGAAGATGAATGGCCAACGACAAAGTTAACATTACACAGCGATGGAACAGATAAAACAATTTTCATAAAAACAAAAGTGACTAGAGACAGATATTGTTATTATGTCACCTCCAAAAAGTGGTGACACATTGTTGTGGTCTCCGTTTTTTGTGGCGGCGATCGGCGGTTGGCGTCTGTAACAAATTCTTACAACTTTCAATAACTTAACAAATCAAATACTGTTTAGACTGACTTCAATATTTTTTCAACATCATCTACAAGTTTCCAGAAGTTCAAATCTGATATTTAAGATTTGACCTTCAATGACCTTTTCAAGGTCATAAAAGGTTAAAAATGTCTTCAACTTGCTTCACTGACCCAATTTTTTATCAAAATTAAGTTATCAGAAGATCAAATCTGACTTTAGATTTGACATTTGACCTTCAATAACCTTGTCAAGGTCAAAAATTAAAAAAGGTATTTTTCAACTTGCTTCAAATTGACCAATTTTCTTCTTCAAAATCATCTAGAAGTAGACTATAGATTTGACCTTCAATGACATTCTCAAGGTCAAAAGAAAGATTTGACCTTCAATGACCTTCTCAAGGTTAAAAAGGTAGAAAAAGTTTTTTTTAACTTGCTTCAAATTGCGATTTTTAAAATCAACTACAAGTTCTCGGAAGTTCAAAGAACTAATAATATTGTGAGCAACTATGTGGTGACATTTTTTCATGTTAATGCCTTGTTCGTTCTGTAAGTGGCAGATATGTGTTTACAAGCCAGTGACTTCAGGCTAGCAGCTCTAGCCGTGTTTCCGTAACATTCACAAACTTTTCGACACTCACCTTTCGCATTGGAATTCCCACCACCAGGTTACAGACGACCAATGTACAGAGTATAAAAACAAATCTCTCCATAATTTTATTCAGTGAATCTCATAGAACTTCAAACATAGCCTACGTACACCAGTATTTTGTTCCCTTGTGTTTGGATCTAAGAATACGAATCTTTATGACGACTCAAAACAATGTCATGGGAACAACTTACTCGTTATTGTTATTGATTTATTTGTTACAACATGTCACAATCACTCTAAAAATTGCGAATGATCTCATTAGGACACAGTGCGACATCTATATTTCTGTGTATACTGCCGTGGAGAAGTGAAACTACACCAATGGGGCATGTCCCATGGAAAGAATGAACATCTTCATTCTCGATTGGACTCTGTGGTACTTTGCCCCATCCGTCCCATAGGGCAAAGCCCCATGAATTCCCACGCAAATAAAGTCTATGTTGGATGTCCCAACGTGCCCCATTGGTGTATATTTGGCTTTATGTTGATGGATACTGAACAGAGAAATTGACAGACACCAGTCTCAAAAGTGTAGTGAGTTCAAGTGGAAATTGAATAACAAGTGGCCATTGGAGCCCATCGAGCCACATCATAGGTACATTTACATTTAACCAAAAGGCAACATCATTACACCAAACACCCCTTTGGGGTCTGTAAAAACTGTTTATTTCGTGTAATTTAAAAAAATCCTTCATCCATCATAAATATATTATTATTCTCCCAGTGTTCTTTTCATGGTTTAATGTAAACAATGAACAAAGGCGCAGTTTTTGCATCATTGTCATATTTATTATTTAAATTTTTTTTAGATGTACATGTGCATATAGAGCCTGGCATTACCGATCTATTACAGTTAGTTTTAATTACACACTGGAGTCAGATTTTAATTACACACTAGAACATTACATAGCATTAGTTCTGAATTTGGTCCATTACAGCGTCCTTGCTCTGAATCACATGTCCTGGTACGCTGTCTCGTTCCTGATGTAATGCCACACGTAAGAGAACATTCCGTCCAAGGACTCCATTCACCATATCCTGCAACATTAAACAATTATCTTGCACCATATACCTGAATAATTACATATTTTTGCTTGACAATATTCTAAACCATTTGTAAACACGTTCATGATAAATATAGTTGTCACAATTAAAGGGCATGGGCATGAGCATTTCCGCTGATGTACAAGTAAGCACGTGAAATATACATTACTCGTATTTCCTTTTAAAGTAACTTTCTATGATTTCATCTAAAAATTAAAACCCTTGGAAATACTAAATATGGTTTGAGTGCCATATATAAAAATCTATTTTAGAAATATTGTGGATCAAAATGAAAAAAAACAAAAATAAAGAATAAAAAATATATCACCCGTGGGATTTGAACCCAGATCTTTTGGAATAAAAGTCTGAATGAAATCTGTTTGAAGTATAGTAGGAACAAGGGGTTCCCATGCACCCATAAGGTGTGAATAAGTTACATACATTTTTGTAATCCCTAGGGTGTCTATTTAATGAATTCATTTGTTAACATTGCCAACTAATGTCCCATAGTACTTTTATGGCGGCATTCAGTTACCATGGTTACGCATCTTGAGACATCTTACCTTGGTATCTTAAATCATTTGTAGCTCTGTCATTATTTGGTCTATAGAAATGATATTGGTACCAAATTAAACCTCGTTAAATTTCCAATAAATTTCTGATATTCAATTATGCAAATTATCTAATTTGCATAAATTATGACGTCATCAATCTATTTTTGGTTCAGAATTTCCAACTATAGCAACGTATCTATTAGAACTGAGGGCGTATGGCAAAACTTTTGAAAGGTTTTGTCCTTTATTCTATTAGTAAAAGGGATAAGCAACATAAAAGTGAAAACAGATTCAAAATTGAATCAGTATTACGAAAGTTATGGAACTTTCGAGGCAGCTATCGTGAATGTCATTATTTGACAATAATATACATACGTCTTACCTTGGAGTCTTGAATCAATGTAGGTTCGCCATTATTTGGTCTATAGAGATGATATTGGTATCTGATTAAACCTTATTAAATTTACTATATGGTTACAATATCAAGTTATGCAAATGAGCTAATTTGCATTAATTGTGACGTCATCAATCCATTTTTGGTTCAGAATATCCTAGTATAGCAACATATCTATTAGAACTGAGGCCGTATGACAGAATGTGTGCATAGTTTTGTCCCTTATTTGATGAGTGGAAGATATAAGCGACAGTAAAGAGACAACAAATCTTCAAAATTGGATCAGAATTAACAAAATTATCCAGCTTTGGAGGCAGCTACTGTGAACGTCATTGTTTGAAAATTATAAAAAGAATATTAAATTAACCAAAAAAGTAACAACCATAGTTGTTTCAATCTTATTGAGTAAAAATGTGCATGTATTGAACTGAACTAATAAGTATGTGGAAAGGTTACATGTATTTTGACTATCATTCACAGGGGTCAAAATGGTTATCTCGACCCTGTATATTAAAGATCCAATTTTATAATTTACCATGCACTTTCAATGATTCATATAAATAGTATACATATAGTCTGATTTTCATCATATTCTTCATATTCTTGATTCTGAAAGTATCTGAAGTATAAAGCATGATTAGAAGTGAAGATGATTCATCATATGGTTTATGTAATATTTAAACATTTCAGATGCTATGGTAACATCACTTGATAATGAGGTTTTTACATTTCACGTTCTTAATGAGTTAAAAGAAAGTTATTCTCCCTTTGCTTTAGAGATAAATAGTCACATGAATTTGTTTAAAATATGATAACTTAATTTAACCCCCTCCTGACAGCCCCCATATTTGTAGATTTTGGTGAAACCTGGCAAAATACATTAATTATTAGGTTCCAGAAGCCCCCAGAAGCTATATGATGGCCCCCAGTAGCCCCAAGAATCTATACAGGGGCCCCCAGAAGGTATACGATGGCCCCAAGAAGCTATACAAGGGCCCACAGAAACTATACTGTGGTCTCCAGAAGCTATATGGTGGCCCTCAGAAGCTATATGATGGCCCCCAGAAGCTAATTAGTGGCCCCCAGGAGCTATACGGTGGCACCCAGAAGCTATACAGGGAACCCCAGTGGCCCCAAGAAGCTATACGATGGCCCCCAGAAGCTATACAGCAGCCCCCAGAAGCTACACAATGGCCCCCAGAATCTATATGATGGCCCCCAATGGCTCCCAGAAGCTATACAGGGCCCCCAGTAGCCCCTAGAAGCTATACGGTGGCCCCCAAAGCTATATGGTGGCCCATTGGGGGACACTGTATAGCTTCTGGAGGCCATCGTATAGCTTATGGGGGCTACCGTATAGTTTCTGCGGGCCCTTGCATAACTTCTGGGGGCCATCGTATAGCTTCTGGGAGCCACTGGGGGCCCCTGTATAGCTTCTGGGGGCTACAGTACAGTTTCTGCAGGCCCTTGCATAGCTTCTGGGGGCCATCGTATAGCTTCTGGGAGCCACTTTGGGCCCCTGTATAGCTTCTGGGGGCCACTATATAGCTTTCGGGGCCACTGGGGGCCACCGTATAGCTTCTAGGGGTTATTGGGGGGGCCCTTTATAGCTTCTGGGAGCCATTGGGGGCCACCATATCGATTCTGGGGGCAATTGTGTAGCTTCTGGGAACCACCATATAGCTCCTGAGCGTCACTATTTAGCTTCTTGGGGCCATCATATAGCCTATGAGGGCCACCGTATATCTTCTAGGGGCCCTTCACATCTTCTGGGAGCCATTGGGGCCATCCTGTAGCTTTTTGGGGCTCCTGTATAGCTTCTGGGGGCCATCGTTTAGCTTCTTGGGGCCACTGGGGTCCCCTGTATAGCTTCTGGGAGCCCCCGTATAGCTCCTGGGGGCCATTAATTAGCTTCTGGAGGCCATCATATAGCTTCCCAGGGCCACTGGGGGCCACCATATAGCTTCTGGAGACCATAGTATAGTTTCTGGGGGCCCTTGTATAGCTTCTGGGGGCCATAGTATAGCTTCTGGGGGTCCCCGTATGGCTTCTGGGGGCCACCGTATAGCTTTTTAGGGCCACTGGGGGCCCCTGTATAGCTTCTGGGCGCCACCGTATAGCTCCTGGGGGCCACAGGGTTTCCTGTATAGCTTCTGGGAGCCACCGTATAGCTCCTGGGGGCCACTATTCAGCTTCTGGGGCCAACATATAGCTTCTTGGGAGCACAGTGTAGCTTCTGGGGGCCACTTGGGGCCCCTGTATAGATTCTTGGGGCTACTGGGGGCCATCATATAGCTTCTGGGGGCTTCTGGAACCTAATAATTAATGTATTTTGCCAGGTTTCACCAAAATCTTCAAATATGGGGGCTGTCAGGGGGGGGGGTAAATTTTTTTTATTTTTTTTATACATAAATTTATTCCTTTAGTAAACAATATAAGACATGCAATTGATTGCCAAAGTTTTATAAAAAAAACATTAGCGGCAATTTTAGACAATATGAATAGGAATACATTAAAATTAAAAATTTATCAAAGTAATGTTTTCACACATATAAGAAACTATAATCCCATGGGCCAGGGATGTGTTAACACATGCATGCAAAAATTAGCCAAACTGATCAATTTGGCTCAGACTTTGATTAACAAAATGACTCATAAGTTCTATTAATTTTTCATTTAATGAATTATCTAAATCTTCATCACCATACAAAAGAAACTGAATTTTGTCAACTGTGTTCAAATTCTGAACCAAAAGATGAAGATCTGAAGTTCGCAGTCCTGCAAATAAAGTTTCACGCTCGTTTACAAGCAGAGGACATTTTAAGATGAAATGAGAAGGTGTTTGTGGTAATCCACATTTACAAAAGGGATCACTAACACTGGTGAAATTATGAGCATATAGCTGTGATTTTAAAAGGAGACCCACTCTGAGTTTGTTAAAAGCAGATTCAACATATCTAGGCATTTCGTTTACCATTTTGGTAGTGGGTAGCATGGAGACAGGGCTCCTGTAATCTCTTACTAATCTTTTGAAGCGAGATATTGGTTGACCTCTTCTCGTGTCAAGGTGTAAATTGTCCCATATTCTTATTCCATTCAAAATAGTTGACCTCCGGAATGAGTTGCTAGCTTTTGTAGGAATTAAGTAATGTCTTGTATCTCTCAGTTGCCTAGCCTGAGTATTTTCATAGGTTTGAAGTAATTCACAAATGAAAGGTGGATAAGAATTGTACCTTCATTTAAACATAAACATTTTATAATGCTCATCTCTTCTAGTTGATAGGGATTTCCAGTTTAAGGAACTTAGAACAGAAGCAGTGTTTGACCCATGTATAACACCAGAAACCAAACATGCTGCTCTGTAGTGCAATCTATCTAAACACTGAAGTTTAAAATTTGAAGCTTTACCGTAAATTATATCACAGTAATCAAAATGTGGCATAATGAAAGCATTGTAAATTGTTTCCAAGTGTTTACTCTTAAGAAGTTTGCTAAGTTTCTTTAAAGGTCTCATTAGAGAAATTACTCTAGTGATAAGTTGATCAATATGGTCATTAAAGTTCAAATGTTGATCCAGAATTAGCCCCAAGTGCTTATGACTGTTGCATCTTGGTATCAGTTCATCTCCTAGATGTAAAGAGGGAGGTTCAATAAGTAAGTTTCTAGTTCCCGTGAAAATCAAATCGGCGCTTTTTTGTGCTTTAAAATTCATCTTCGAGGTATAAGCCCATAAAGCAAGATTATCTAAGTCATTTTGAATGGGTTGGTGTACATGTATGTTAATAAAATTCTCACTTTTTTCATAGGAGTTATAGACTGAAGTGTCATCTGCAAAAATAAAGGTTTTTGAGTGCAAATTATCAGGAAGATCATTCACATATAATAGAAAAAGCAGGGGTCCTAATACTGATCCTTGAGGAACTCCAGCATTTATGACAAAATTGTTGCGCAAATTATTCGGGTTGTTTGTATTGTCGTTAGGATTTTCATTGGACCAATTCGAATAGCTATTATTCACTTTAACTTTTACTCTTCTGTTGGATAAA